CCAATACCTTGGGCATATCTAAGAGGGAGGGAGGGGACCGTGAGCTTGCGAGAGAATGGTCATTCACCCGAGTCTCATCTGCATCTTGAAGCCGCAAGACCTTAGAAAAACGCGAGACATTATGATCGAGGCTGGAATCTGTATCAACGTCAAGCCCCTCTGATTCGAAGGAGGATTCGCCATGGAGGGCATTCATAGCAGCAACCGGTGAGAGACTTGGGCTCGGGAGGCACATATCCTGCGCCATGGCATTGTCTATTGCCGATAGTTGAGACATAAGCTCGGGTCTCTCTTGCATTGCAGATTCCTGTGTTCCATATGTTGTATCATGACCAAATGAGGCTGATTCATGTGCAGTTGAACAACTCTCATCCGCTTCAGTAGCCTGAGATTCTTGGTTTCCGGGGTTTGAACGAATCCCAGAAAATGCATTCTGCAAGTAAGAACCTTGATTGGATGCCTGTAAGCCCTTAGCTCCGATTTCAGATGAGAGAGGTGAAGGCAAAGGAGGTTCCCTGCGCGGAAACACCGAGCTGTGGATTCTTGGTCTTGGGGGCACATTTTCGCCAAATCCGCTCAGGTTGCTTTCGGTGTCTGGGGTGGCAAGGCCGGCGGCAAGATGAGTTGATCCGACGCCACTTTGGCGAGTGCGGCGTGTGATGGGCTCAGAAGGAGCCCGTGTTGAGCGAGTTCGTGGGAGAACCGAGGGTCGAGTATCGAAAAGCGTGACGGGGGATACGGCACGACGGCGAGTATTGAAAGGGTGGCTAGAAGGTTGACTCGCTATTCTCGGAGGGGTCAGCCGCCGAGTGGGGTTCTCGCCCTCGGCGATGAACGAGTTCACAGAGCGAATCGGGCCATTTGAAGATTTTAACGCCTCGCTTTTCTCCTTGTACTATATATTATTATACTGTAAGCATTGGATTCGACTAGACCAAGAGGGTAGGATAAAATCGTACCTCGGCGGCAGCATTTATGGTATCCTCGGGCTCGTTAAAGATGATGGACTTCTCGCCGATCTTGAACTTGAGGTTCCTTAGAGCCGCTGGAGTTGGAGATGAGGCGAGAGGGTACTGTCGGACATCCAGATCCTTGACGGCTCGCGGGGGGTTGATTGTCAACGGCGGGAAGGAGGTAGTCGTGGTGGTGGTGGTCGTCACCACCGTAGTCCGGGTAGTCGGGGCGAAGGAGAACTGTCCGATGGAGGCATTTGATGGCCCTTGGCCCAGCTCCTCTCTTTCGTCCATTTCACGTTTTCGAGGACGAATGAATCGAGATCCCGGGCTGTGGGTCGCGTGGGAGGTCGCAGATACGGATGCGTTGTGGTCAGTCAAAGCCGAGTCGACTTCTGATATTTGAAGGGAGCTGGGAGCATTTGAAGTCATTGTAAAGCGAGCTCATGTGCAAGAGGACAAAGAACTGTGAATGTCCCAAATTAACTTTTTTTAGCAAAACACCCCCTCAGCACGGTACACCAGCAAAACCATCGATGCAAAGGGCATTCAGCACATAGTGTCAAGAGCCGAGGATAATCAAGTTGTTAGGGGGGGGAAATAGAACACAAATAATGGAAGCAAGGAAGCAAAGGGAAGGGGAGAAAGAAACAGTGGCGGCTGAGAAGGAGTTGGGGCGGAGAACAACATTTATTCCGGTTCCCGTGGACGATGTCATGGCCCAACGTGCAACATTTGGATTCTTTCTGATTCTTTGCTATTTAGCTGTTGATTTTTCATATATTAGACCTGTTACCTTGACTACTGTCTACGGATGTGAAATGCCAAATGATCCGAGTGTGAAACCTGGAGAAAGGGCCCCTGGTTCTGCTCTAGACCGGCAGAACTGATTACCAGATAGAGGTGGGACCGAGGAGACACTCAGATAAGCCGGTTGACTTCCTCTTGCCCAGCGCCTTTATAACGTAATAACCAGGATTCTATTAGCTATTCGCCCCTAAATCATAACGTAATCGGTAAGCGAGTGGCCACTGTAAGCGAGTGGCCACCCTACCCAAGAGTATAGTTTTCTAAGGTAAATATTTCAACCAGAACGCCATTAAATTAATTAAACTAAAAAAGATCATTTATCTGGATACCTATTGATCTTATGCCCTGTCTTTCCACACCCACTACACCTTGGTGCAGCCTGTGGTCGTGGTTCTAACCCTGATTGAGTGCTTCCGCCCGGGGGGTGTAGGGGTGTTTCTAATGCTTCTACCAGCCTAGCAATGATTTCAGAAGCTTCTTGAACTGAGAGGCCTTCTTTGGCGGGTATCTACCTTTTAGATCGGGCCCGCTTTTGCTTCTTATTCTTATTTTTATCCCATAAATCCTTGTTTTCTTTCGCTAGTAAAATAGCGCTATATATTACAAGCTCGCAGCCTTTGATAAGTTAGTTTAATATACGTTTAGAAGGGCTTATTAGGCTTCGAGATTAGGTTCGAAGTAAAGCTTTAATAGACAAAGCCTGTTGACGTAGATCTTTACTATTAAAAGGGGTTTTTAGGGTGAAATTCCGGCTTGAATCGCTACCCCGGCTTAGGGGGGGGGTTGGCGTTCGAAGATAAATATTAAGTTTTAAAAGTACCCGATTGGGTGAAAAAGGTATTAAACTAGCTGCTGAGAAGCTATTTTTAATCGTCTCCAATTTAAAAGCTTCAATTCGTACGGAGGGGTATACTTCGAGGAATTTAAGTTTATTAATATAGTTGATCCTAGTCCGCATTTTTATCTTAACCAACCGGCCGTATAACCGTTTTACTACCGTAAAACAACCGATATTAAGAGGTTATAAAAGGTAAGAGGAATACGGTAGTATATAAATTAGTATAATATCGTTTTCCTCATAAATTTAATCGAATTAAGGGGTTAAATGGCTTCTATAGCTATCGAGTACTAAAAGTCGATACCTTCCTACTATATATAATGAAGTTAATAGTATAAAGAGTTTCTAAAGCCAGCGAAGTCCAATTTCATCTGATATCCACCCATTTAGACTAACTTTAAAGTACTAGTTACTAGGAAGGCCTTCGAACTATAATTTAAGGAAGACCTTACCTTTAAAAATAATATATAGAGGGAGGACCTATCCTACCACGTTTATACATTTAATTGCAGTTACCTACTCGCGATTTCTAGGTTATTAAAGTAATCTCCGACTGTAGTATTCACTTCTTATTATAACCTTTACTGTTATAGTTAATCCTATTATAAATCCAGTCTTATCGAAGTTATAAATATCGTCTAGGTTAATCCTAAATTGAATAATAGTTTTTTAAATAAGATTAAACTATTCTCTAATGATTTTTGGGTCTTTACACTTCGCGCGCTTATAATTATAACGTCTTAAGAACCGAGAGGAAAGAAGAGGGCGTTGTTTTATAAAATTGTAAACCTATTTTTCGCTAACCAAAATGACTAGGGTAGTTCCGCGCTTTTTAAGAAGAAGATTCGCTATTTCTTATACTATAGAGGGCCGGGGAGCTGATCCACGAGAATCCATAGAGAGAATCCATTTTTGAAGAGATTCCTCTTCAATTGTAGTCAATTTAGTCGAGTTGGCGCGAGAAGTCGCGCGGCATTGTATTCCATCGAGGCGGCGCCGAAGGGTTGAACGCGGGACGTTAAAGGTACGGGTGGCAATAGAAATATTGGTAAATTCTTGTTTCTTAAAAGCCTGGATAGCTAGTAAGATCCTACCCTCCTGCTCTATTGAATCTTTAGAGGATTGAGAGCGAATTGGTGGCATGGTGGGTGGTTGAACTAAGTAAGTGCTAATTCATGGACGCGTTTTTGGGTAGGGTGGCCACTCGCTTACAGTGGCCACTCGCTTACCGATTACGTTACATATCATGGTCATTCATCCAAGTTCTATCAAGTTTCTGATTTGCCATCGCCATGCATCACGTGAAGTGGGGGCGTGCCTCGGGTGGCTTCTTGGCACGGGGCGTATCTCATTGTTATGAAGAAATCATTTCCCAGGGGGCTCATTGGGCAGACATAGGGGTACAGAATAATCATCGTGCAGTCCATTGTCCCTTACTACTGACTTACTCTATGCATGTCATATACTCTCCAGGTGCAATACCCACCGGCTGATATCTGCAATAACAATGTCTCGCCCCTCCCCACATCGATTTAGGGTTTGGTTGCTTTTACGTACTACACCTCTCCAGCCCTACCTCTAATGATATCCTTGGATATATTCGCAGCGTTACACTTGATTTGACAGATGACATATCTAGAGGAATATATCTGGACTTGGGTCAATGAATCATCTGGTCCCTTGTTTGCTGGAAATCCGATACGAGACAGGATTATGATATATATTCCAGGGCAAAGTGACGTTATAGATGCTGACGTAGAATGAAAAACCAAATGGTGAAGACAAACATGAAAGATGACTAGGGCCCTAATACAATGGGATCTGAGCTGTGTCTATGAATAGACTCGCTAGTTCCAAACTTTGTTAATATCTAAGAATGAAATATGTTTCACTCGCTAGAGCTTGCCGTTTCCTGATGCTAAGACTCCGAGCTAAGCAAGACACATCTTCTACAAAAATGTCCAGATCCTATGATGTTTCCGAGTTTGCTGAATCCTTAGACGACCCATCGATAATTTGCGGACTTTGTACCGGGAGAGGACGACAGCGGCTTCCACATCTATGTTTCCTTATTGTGTTTCTTTGCCTAACATTTGTTTCTCTTCGATTGATGTTCATGCCTAACATATAGAAGAGTCGGACCTAGAGTGAATTCTTCTTTCTGCCTCATCCGGTGGCGAGGCTCACTTTCCTTCGGTGGAGGAAGCTAACGACGCTGCAGTGCTCCCTTCTGACGAACTTGGATTCCCATTCACATCGAATATCTTGATGAAGCACTCATTCGACCCGGGCGCACAGACAAGAAAGTGCATTTTAAGCTCGCAGATAGGGAAATCTCGGCTCAAATTTTTAACAGAGTCTTCAAGTAGACACCCGACCACAATCACTCTAAGAAGCAAATGGGCGACGAGACGATTGCGAGGCTTGCTAATATTTTGCTTCCAACGTGCCAGATCAGGGTTTCAGATAAGATATACGTTAGAAACGAGCCGAGGGTAAGTACAACGGAGAGACAAACGTGCATTCTCCCAAGTAGAACTTTCCGACGACATTTGAAAGTACCTAGTTGAAGCACCTTCCCCTCTCGGCGTAGAAGGCCTTCTCCATATTTACAACCACGAACGAGGGGATTGCCAATGTGAGATTTATGTATAAATCAGGACCGTACAAGAAATGCATGTCCAAACAGACTCAAAGGAGTTTTGGCTGAGATATGCATATGTTGTATGAAATTAGTATGTAGGTTGGGTTGGGTGGACCACTGGCTTACACGTGTCACGTGGATCTAACCCTATTTGTGGCAGATCTGCCTGGAGGCTTATGTCTAGGCCCCTCTCAACCCCGCCCTTGACCTGCACTCTATGGCATCTATATTATCCCCCGACTGAACGGGCGCTACAATTGGCACTCTTGGCGACCTGAGAACCGGGGAATCGCGGGATTAAACTGCGAGGCTGCAGCGAGTTTCAGTCTCTGGCTCAGCAGGGCAAAATCTCTCCGGGCAAAATTCCATCGGATGGATGGTGTCGGTCCGACCCGCCTTATCTTATGCACGTTCATGTCCAACGACTGTTTGGAAATGTGGTGTCTAGACTCGTACGGCAGAAATTGAAAGACTGAAGGAAAGATGGAAATGTGCACCGAGGATGACATGAGTAGCAGGGATTGGCTACTGCAACCATCATCGAAGCGTAACGCAGGTCTGCAGTGGATGTGTACGAATCAACTGCCGTCTTTAAAGGAGTGGAGCGGAATGACCCCAAGGGATGTGATGTGTCTGAGGTGAGGTGCGTTGGTCATAGCCATCAGCCCAATACCCTTTCGCTGAACTGCCCATCCCCAGGCTAGCGGACTGATGACCATTTCTCTTTATGCTTTGCCCTTATGCTTTGCCCTTATGCTTATAACTCATTCCTGCAAGCAATATTACCGGACTGAAGAGAGGTTTCGCAGCAAGCAGCAGCAACTGTTCACGGCGGGGAGCGGAACCCGCTGGACAGCACCGGGCTCTGCCTACTGTCCCTCGATGGCGGCGGCGTGCCCGGACGCTCGACCCTGTACATCCTGAAGGGTTGATGGATTGACTGAACCAGACACGCCCCGAGGGTGCACCCGCAAAGAAACCCTGCAAGGTGTTTGACCTTCTAGGCGGCACTAGTACAGGCGGGTGGGTTGATTCAGTCCATGGTATAATATCGGATGGCTTACAGATGTAGATTGATTGCAATTATATTAGGTCGATTGGGGATGGATGTCGATGAGTGTATTATGGCGTACATCAAGTTTACGAAAATTATTTTTGACAAACCCTCAAAACGGGGCGTATCCAGCCTTTTTGGTAAGATTAAGCCCCAATTCGATACCGACAAGCTCGAGGGTGCAACCAAAGAAGTCATCAATAGCTATAGAGCTAAGCCGACCGATTTATTCAATCATCAAGCTGACCCAGGTTGCCGGGTGTAAGTGTATATGAGCTAATGGTCCCGTATCCTGCTAACGGCTCCAGGTTCGTCTGCAGCATAACGTAGGAGACCAGGGAGATCGTGCACCTTCGCAGCTATTCCATACGCAACAAGCCTGGAATTCCGGCCACCATCAGCCAGGCCGCCTGCGCAACCTCCGCCGCCACAACCTTCTTCAAGCCGGTGTCTATTGGGGCACGCAAATTCGTGGATGGTACGCTCGGGGCAAAAACCCCGTGGATGAAGTGGAAGACGAAACGTCTGACATCTGGTATGAAGAAACAGGTGACCTGAAGCCGCTGGTGAAGTGCTTTATCTTGATCGGCACCGGCAACCCCGGGAAGAAGGCGATGGAGGACAACCTACTCAAGTTTGTTTCTAAAACCCTGCCAAGTCTCGTCACCTAAACTGAGTATACGGAGAAGCGATTCATCGCTAAATGGCGACAGCATTATGATAGCAAGCGATATTTCCGAATCAATGTAGATCAGGGGTTATAGGACATTGGGCTGGCAGAATATCAGGAGCAAGGCTTGATTGAAGCAGCAACAGAGGGATATCTCGACCACCAGGCAGTGGCATTCCGAGTGCGGGATTGTGTTGAGAATCTGAGATCAAAGTAGAGTGTGTATTTAGAAGATTTTACATAGTCCTGGTATTCTTCGGCTAACGGATACGAGACGTGATTGATAGGGAGGGTCGATGCTGGTATGGATGTACAGGCAATTTTGTGCATTTTATGCACTTTATGCACTTTTTGAACTCTTGCGCCAAAATGATGTCAAGTCTCACGATTTGGAAAGTGGGATGTGAAATGTGGAGGATTTCCCTGATTTCCATGATTTTCGTTCCATGATCTGCACCGAAGACAATAGATCGACAATAGAGGCGTATCCGAAACCCTGGGACGAGACTAGGCTATTGGAGTCGACTATTGGCGACCATCAGGGGTTAACCGCATGACCATCCGACTTAGCCGCCTACCAAACCACTAGCTGTTCCGGTTGACTGCGCTTGGGGTGAATGTGGCGCTCGGAGTATTTTCTTTTCTTTTGTCTTTGTGTGTCTGACGAGTATTCGAAGGATGTGTTGTTGTTCTACATATCGGAGTCGGAGCGGCAGACCGAAACCCGCTAATTACGTATACGGAGGTTGATCGGCGTTCGTCCAATCGATCTCGGAGATCTCGATCTGAGTGAAATTGCGCCCCGGAGTGTCATCGCTGCTTGTTCCGCCTCGTGGGTCAAAGACGCGGCACATGGGCTGATTCAATACAAAGTTTGTCTATAGTGTTTGTGCCTCCTATTTTTGAGAAATTGCGCTCGCATGTTTGACACCGAGTCTTACAATATAGGTAAGGTCCCTATAAAAGCGCCCTCGCGATCTTGGTGACACCCGTGAATTGTCAAACCGTGTTAAACTGTCAGTCGCAAACGATCAGATTCATGTCTCAGTATCTTCCCGAGTATGTAGCACATGCGAAAGGTGGAGTCCGAAAGGAGCCCGCATGCAAGTCGATCATTGCCAGTTCCTGGGCCTTTGGACGTGTATCCATGGAACAGAGAGTATTCTTAGTCGAAACATCACTGCCCAGGGTTCGAGGGGGCGATTACGGAGTTTATCCTCCGGACACGGGCTGGTATTTGTCATGGAGCACATCGAGTGGGGGCCTCTATCGTATTAGAGCGGTTCTGAATAACAAGATCTCAGAATACTTCGCTCCGGCGCATTGATAAACGATCGATTTGTCGATCTGCTCTCAGACGCGACCGCAAGTTCCAGCTATGGACTTGGTGTCGCTCAAATATGGATACTCCATAGTTCGTGGCTCTAGACTTGACTAGACTCCACATTCTGGCGATAGCTCCGTGCTGTGTGTGTTTTAGGAAAAAGCATCCATGTGAGTGGATAGGACAAGCGGATTGGTACCTGAATTAGTGGAGCAGACGGAGTTATAATTCCAATTAGCGACGGCAAGGACGTGAGCAGACCTCGTGGGAGGCGTCGATAGCGCAAACTCACGGACAATGCCACGTTCTTGATGTGGGCGTTGACTATTTTTTTAGGTTGCAGATACCGCAGTAAGGGGTAAATGTTAAGATTCGAAGTAGTATATGTACGGAGTATACTAAGGAATAATAGTGTTATGCAAATGCATGTTATATAGCATGATATGTAGGTTAGAGCATACATAACCCCTATCACAACCTTGGATATCACATCCTACACGAAGCCCTAAAACTTCGTATCCATATACTCCGTACTTCCAGTATTTCTAATATTATATGTCGATCAACTCTCGAGAGACCGTGCTCCACTCGAAATTAAATTTGGAATAAATGAAACGCTGCTTTTCAGCCTATGAGGATTCTTTAAGACATCGGTGGAGTCTCCCCCCTTTAAGCGCGTGAACAGGAAATCTTTCAAACTCATTTGCCTGTTCTGTACTACACTCGACGCTTTCGTACAAAAAACATCCGAATCCCAACTGATCACGCATTTTGGATCTTTTATTTTTACCAAATCTATACATCCCTTCCCCAGTCCCGAGTCAATCCTTAAACAGCAAACGTTTCTTTCTATTTCTGGGTACGTTGCGGTTCAGCCCAATTTCCCCTAAATTGCAGACTAAGTAACTAATTTAGTGGAGTAGATTCAACCGAAGCGAGATACTTGAACCAGGAACCCCCCCGCTTACACAATTTGCGCATTCAGTCCAACCATTCGCATCATACGATTCATGCGCAATTGAACTGCGCTCTGTCTCTCCCACCATGGGACACCGAGAACTCACACCGGTCCATGTGCCACTTCGAACGTCGAGTCGCAAACCGGCACAACACGAACCAATGAACACCCAGGAACAGACCCGAGTCGACCGACGAACCTCGAAGGCCCAAAGATTTTTCGGAACCGATATATCACTTCCCACGGAACATGGCGGGTGGCAGGAGCCTCCAAATGTACAACGACCGAGCTTTGCGAAGCCGAATAATGCTCCTAGACAAGGCACCGGTCTGGTTCCGTTTCCGCGTTCTTCAGAGAATACCTTGATTCCCGATCAGAACCTTCGCGTACGGGCTTCATCGCCTCTGCTAGGCCAGGACTTCCGATCCCAGGAGGCCGCGCCGCCGCTTCCCAAGTCTTCGAAAAAGGTTCACCATTCCGGTTCCTCGTCCACCCTTTTCTCCTATTTCAGCTCGAAAGAATCGGCCAAATCGGCCAAATCGCCTAAATCGCCTAAATCACCCAAGAACCGTGGACTCCAGCCGAGAGTACGGCACGAACTCTCCAGTGAGCCCCAAGTGACATACACGAAGCCTCAAGAATCACCGAAAGAATCCAAGCGGAAGATGCGTCCTTCAAAAATTGATCTTTCCGTCTTGTTCCCGAAGCCGCGGAATCCCCAACCCCAAACACTTCTGTCCCCCCACCGGATGGTCAACTCGCCCTCCCCTGTCTCTTCAATGGACCCGGATATTTCTTCAAACAAGATTGAAAGGATGACCGGCGGCATGAGCAACTCCACCACGAGGAGATACGACGCACCTCCCCCTCGATCTTCAATCACCAAGAATGACCTACCCAAAAATGGTCTTGATCACTTCGATTTGCCCTCGATTGCAGAGAGCAAAAGTAACGAGTGGTTGGAGCAACCGCTTGAGCGGACAGTAGGAACGAGTGAGATTGATATAGCCCTGGATAGATATGAGGGGCAACGATCACTCTTGAGTCGCTCGAGCACGTATACTACCAGTCAAGAGCAATTACGGCCAGAACAGCAACGCCCCCAGGAACCTCGCAAGAGCTCAAGACGTCCTCACAGCTCCTCTCGACCTAATGAGACGTACTTGAGTCCTCCCTCATGTCCAGACACAAACCGTGGTCGCGTCGCGAGTACCTCCCAGGAGTCGTGGAAGACTAATGAGTCAAAATCAAAGAGCGAGAAGAGCTCGTTGACCAAGAAGGGCAGCAAAAGTACTTTGAAGAACAAAGATCTGCGAAACACCAGTATGCTTTGCCTTTCCTCTTCTTCAGAGGACGAGGATGAGGACCGAACTCCAACCACCGACAAGCGCTATACAAACAAGTCTAGAAGAGACAGTGTGGCTACTTACGACGAATATGAGCCCCAGCTCTACACGGCTTCTACTGCCCACGCGACCACTGCCACGGCGGCGAAACGCTTTGACCGGAGACTCTCGACTAGCACGCGTGGCTCCCGCCAAACCGAAAAGAGCCTGCCAGTGCTCGAAGCTCGCCCACGAAAGGCTTCTCAATCCTCGAATGGCAAGTCTTCTCAGAAATCTGGACGAACCACGCAAACCCGCCGTTCGAGCGAAGTTCCCGCTATCCCAGATGACATTCTGGCGCAATTCCCACAGCAGCCTCTACGTACCCCCGCAGAGTTGAAAGAGTTGAACCGGAGGAGTCGTGTGATCGCCGTGACCCGCCAAGAGCAGGATCTCCTCGAGGCGATGCGTATTCGAAAGGGCAAGGTCACACCCAGTTTGTTGAATGCGCACGGAGCGGATAGAAGATCGCTAGCCTCTGGCCCATCGCGCGATTCTTTCTGCGGATCCGACACCTCATTCTTGCGTCTCAGCCATGTATTCCCGCCATTCGATGCACCGTCAGAAAAGGGTGCTACCCAATACAAAGATGGAACGCCCTCCCAAAGCTCGGGCTCGGATAGTGAATGGAAACCCCGCACTGCAGTTTCCTCCTCTAGTCTCAGTGTGGACTATTCCGAAAGCCTGCCATCTCCTTCCACCAGCGGTGCTTCGCCGCTGACCCCCACTTTGCCAATTCATCGTTTCTCGCCGCTTCCCTCTTCCAAGCCCCCAAGAGGGCCCCCACCGGCTATCCCTCAAGAGCAGAAGCAGCACACCCGCCGTCGCACCGATAGTAGCGAGGCTATCCTGCTGGATAGTGGTGGTGAGTCAAAACGCAACACCGGCCTTCCTCTCTGGTCTTTCGACTTTGATTGGAACCAGGAAAGTGCCAATCTCCCTCCTGTGCACTGATCGCTTGGCCCTTGATACCAGACACTCTCATTCCATCCCTTGCATTTCCTATTTCACCCTTCTATCTCTCTCTATTCCTACTTGAAATGACCTTTTACGGTCTTGCCTGCATTTCCTTGACTTGCAGCACTTCGCTCCAAGCTTCTCTTTACCCAACCACATAGACCTCTTATTCCTTTCCTACGTGACCCTTTTGCTTATGTCTTCTCACTATTTATTCTTTTCTTTTTGGATTAGCGTTCACTCGCGGGCTTCTGCACCTGCTATCATGTTTTACTTGGATGGTTTTCGTGCCTTTCTCACGATCTCATCATTTCCGGCTCACGATCATAATCATTAATATCCCCAATGATCATCAATTTATCAACTGAACTCATGCAATTTTCTTGCCCGATTCTTCACATAATTCCTGCCGCGCTCTAGCTTAGCCTGAGTCGGGTATCGCGGTGTATAGCGGCCATTTGGGACTTTGGGCTTTCAGTTTTCGCCGCTCATATATCTCTCTTCTAGAATTTCAAATACTAGGGTACTTGGAATGTTATATCAACCTCCTAATGGGATCACCGTGTTTGTTGTAAGTTTCTCATTTATATAGAAGCAAGATAGTTGGCCGCTTATACAAGCTCTTTACTTGGCGAGCTAGGATTTGAAGAATCTGAACATCTTGTCTTGTTCAATGTCTTTGTAGATCCCTATAAATGCCCATGATAACCAATCTTGGATATGAAATAGACAATATCGACGAATGACGACATGCGAGGAGAATAACAATGGCTGTGAATAATGTCTGGCTAGCTCGACGTCATCAACAACTCTCCCAAAATCCAGTACTCCACACAGAACATTCTAAATGTGATATGAGATACCCACAAAAGGTACACAGCCGGAATTGTACACATCACTTACCTCACGCGACAACTTCCAAGGTCGAACCCTTGGTGAGCAGTGATCCACTCCTTGACCGCCGACCTTTTCGTCTATAACCCCGGATTATTGCTTGAGCACTCTATCATCTTCCTCTCCTTTCTTTTCTAAGCTCTTTTCCAAGTTCTTCGGAACCCTCATTCATACAGTGGAGTCAGCCGACGCCCATTCTCTCCTTCGCCTCCCAGCCACTCGCGTCGCCTCCGATCGCCCTCGGGAAACCCTATCCGGACCTAAAAGGGAAGATCTCCAGACCAGCCCACCCCTGGTTCGCGAGTTGGGATTTGCAGTTTGCTCTACGGAGGACATCATCATACACACTTTTCCTGTCGCTGCCTCAACTGAGCCCATTTACCACATTCACGGATTGGGGAACATACTGCGTGCCCCTTTTGCGGAAACGTTAGCCGCTGTTTATAGGGAACACGTACTTCGTTATGGGAGATCGCGCTCAACGTCAGCCGTCTGGGCTGCGAGCTGCGGCCAATGTTGCGCCATGGATTCTGGTATGAGCTTGTTGGGGAATACAGCTTTTGCGATCTTGGGCACTGTTCGCTGACTTCGTTCCCTTCCAGTTGACTGCGGAATCCACTGCATTTGTGCTGGTAAGTCATCCTGCGCGTGTAGATTCTTGTGACAGGAAGATGAGAAGGCTAATTGTATTTTTACACTATAGCTAGCTCACTATTCTCGAGTCATGCCACCCGCCGGTGGTAAACGCTACCTGACCTCTACAGCAGTCTTCCTAGTCGAAGTGGTCAAGCTGGCCATCTCCCTCACAATGGCACTCTACGACGTCTCCAAAACCGCCCCACCCTCAATGCCCGCCACCTCCCTCTTCTTCTCCCTCACAAGCGCCGTGTTCTCGGGTGACAGCTGGAAACTCGCTATCCCTGCCGGGCTCGACGTCTTGTCCAACTCCCTGCTGTACATTGCGCTCTCGAACCTACGAGCTGCATCGTTCCAGGTTACATTCCAGCTGAAGTTTCTTACCACTGCGGTCTTTGGCCTGATGCTCCTGAGACGGAGCATCCCTCCCCGCAAGTGGGGCCTGCTTTTGCTTCTCATTGTGGGCGTGGCGTTGGTGCAGATCCCTGATGCTAGCCCAGAGCAAATGTTGCAGGATGATCATACTAGCCATTATTTCCCTCGATCCCTGGAGGAATGGAAAGCTGTCAAGCAAGGTGCTGGTTCTGGCAGCAGTTTGCAAAAGCGGTCTGCAACATACGAGGGCATTGAGGAGGACATCCTGACGGCTGACCCACACTTGAACCCCACAATTGGTCTCCTTGCGACCATTGGGGCGTCTTTGGCTTCTGGGCTTGCGGGGATTTATTTCGAGAAAGTCCTAAAGGACAGCTCGAACCATATATCGTTGTGGGTCCGCAATGTGCAATTAGCCGTCTACTCCGTTTTCCCGGCTCTCTTCATTGGGATTGTCTTCCGGGATGGTGAAAAGATCGCCGAAGATGGTTTCTTCCAGGGCTACAATTGGGCGGTGTGGTCTACCATCATCCTCCAGGCCTTGGGTGGTATCGTTTCTGCATTCTACGTCAGCCACGCGCAGAAGGATGCAAGGAGTTTCGCCACAACTGCCAACATAATTTTGAGCATTGTGGGAAGCATCTGGCTATTTGAATTTGAGGTCAATGCAAGCGTAAGTTCCTTGCCTCTCAAACACTTCTCTTCTGTTTCAGATGCGCCCTCGACATGAATTATGAACAAAACTGACTGGGACATTATAGTTCCTCCTGGGCTCGGCTGCAGTCCTGGTAGCAACCCACTACTATGGGAACCCGACCTTCAGCCCTGTGATGGGTGCCTTGCGTCCGCCTCCAATCCGCATCGACGCCTACGAAAAGGACCCCGCAGGTGACGAGGGCTCCCCTGTGGTGCCTTCCAATGACTTCTCTATCAAACTTCCAACCTCACCTTTCCTCTCTGACGGCATGTCGTCCTCCCGTCCCACCTCACCAGCACCAGGCCATACCAGAGTAAGCTCTAGCCGGAATGCAAGCGCGAATTATTTCGATGAGAAATGATTACTGTAACTCGCTATGCATATTGCTATTGGCCCACCTGACGAGATGCTCTTTACGGGAAATGATATTGGATACTTGATAGATGCGGGTGGAAGTGCGGTGTTCAAGAAAGCCGCCTGTCGCAAGCCCATTTACTATGCTTGGTGCCGCTCCCAATTTGGAGCGTAGCTACTCTTCGCTGCCAAATTTTGCCCTCTTACTGTCAAGATGTTTGCCGGTTTTGGCTCATGTATGCATATATACGAAGCAATGAAAGACTTTGATATACCCCACGATACTTGAAAATTGCTATTCTTACTGATTTGAGAAGAAACTGCTGCAGCATATGCATATGTTACAAAGGCATGGGTTCGCCCACGTGCTGTCACGTTATCGGGATGATGGACCTTGGAACCAAGGCACTTTCAAAATTCATCACCACAACCCCATATTCAATCCCAATCATCGAGAACGCATCTCAAGATGCGGAGAAATAATCAGACATCGAATTTCAAACCCTTCCAATTGCCTTCCCAGAGGCGCACAAATGCCTCCTCCCCGTCCAAGAATAGTAGTATAACCAGGATCATCAACGAGAAACTCATCCAAGGCTCCCAGAAGCCACAATACAGCAGCCCATCTCCCCGAAAGCCCTCCAGTGGCCTGGGATCATCAGCTCATGATGACGACCCCCAATTGGATGCTTTTGGTGAGTCTGCCGGCTTATCATCATGGCGGGTGCTGATTGAATCCAGACCTAGAACTACTAGCCTCAGAGGATATAGAGAATCAGGATTCGGGATTTGGAGTTTCTCAATCTACACCGCTTCAAGCATCTCGCCATCCTGATCTACAGACATCCCATGTCTCTCGTTTCTTTCAGCGTGAGTTGCTTGTATACCCGTGCTAGTGTTCCTGTCTTGTTGATTCGGAATTAACAAGTAATAGCAAGCTCGAGTACCGTTTCTTCTCGCTGGAATGGGCCCGGTTCATCGGACACTGTTTTAGGGCCTCCCTCGAGCCCGTTGGCTTCGTTCCACCAGAAGAAGAATGGGATACGGATGGGACAGCGCAGCCTTGAGACGAATCGTGGCCCATACCGCAATGAGACTAGTCAATCCTCACCCCAGAAACCGATCGCCCAGGCGGGCTCAGAGGCTTTGACTGGAAACAGACAACGTCAAAGCCTATTCAGCAATATCCCATCCTCTGTGCGGGGGATCGTACTCGTATCAGTGAATGACCTACCGGAGAACTACCGCTCGATGTTCCCCTTCCCACTTTTCAATGCCATTCAATCCAAATCCTTCCATTCCGTCTACAACAGCAATGACAACATCGTCCTATCCGCCCCAACCGGCAGCGGCAAGACAGTGGTGATGGAATTGGCCATCTGCAGACTCCTGAACACCCTCAAAGACGAACGCTTCAAAGTAGTCTACCAAGCACCTACCAAGTCCCTTTGCAACGAGCGCTTTCGAGACTGGCACTCCAAGTTCTCCAGCTTGAACCTCAAGTGCGCAGAACTGACCGGAGACACGGACCACATGCAGCTGCGCAACGTCCAGAGTAGCCAGATTATCATCACGACCCCCGAGAAATGGGATAGCATGACTAGGAAATGGAAAGATCATATGAAGTTGATGCAGCTCGTGAAGCTCTTTCTCATTGACGAGGTACATATTCTGAAGGAGACGCGCGGAGCTACGCTCGAGGCTGTGGTTTCCCGGATGAAGAATATTGGATCGAATGTGCGGTTTGTGGCTTTGAGTGCGACTGTTCCTAACTCCGAGGATATTGCTACCTGGCTTGGGAAGGATGCGACAAACCAGCATGTTCCTGCCCACCGGGAGCATTTCGGTGAAGAGTTTCGTCCCGTCATTTTGAAGAAGGTTGTCTATGGATATGCGTCTAACTCGAATGACTTTGCATTTGATAAAGTCTGCGGTTCGAAGTATGTGACCTTTTTTGTTCTGCCTTTTTCCTTTGAATTACTCGTTGGCATACTGATTGGAGCTTGAAAAGGTTACCCGAAGTGATCGGAATGCATTCATGCCAGAAGCCCATTCTGATATTCTGTTGCACACGGAACTCAGCGCTTGCGACGGCGAAAGAATTGGCTCGCCTTCACACATTGACGAATCCACCTGCCAGGCTTTGGAAGGAACCCAAGAAGCGCCTCGAGGCTCATAATGAGGATCTCAAGAGTATGGTTCAGAGACTTACTCTAAAGAAACACAGCTAATTCGAGATAGCAACACTCGCTGCTGGTGTAGCATTCCATCACGCTGGTTTGGGCCCCGCTGATCGCCACACTGTCGAGACAGGCTTTAGAGACGGGCATATCAACGTCATATGCTGCACGTCTACACTTGCAGTTGGAATTAACCTGCCTTGCCACCTCGTCATAATCAAAAACACTGTCTGTTGGCAAGATGGAGGCTGCAAGGAGTATTCGGATCTGGAGATGATGCAGATGCTGGGCCGCGCGGGCCGACCTCAATTCGACGATAGTGCAACAGCGGCCATCCTCACCAGGAAGGAACGTGTAAGTCACTATGAGAAACTGGTTCAGGGGTCTGAGAGTCTGGAGAGCTGCTTGCATTTGAATTTGATTGATCATCTCAACGCTGAGATTGGCTTGGGGAATATCTCGGACGTCGAATCGGCTGTCAAATGGCTCGCTGGGACATTCTTGTTTGTTAGGCTTCGTCGAAATCCGACGCACTACAAGCTCAAAGAAGGTGCAAACCAGGAAGACGAGGATGAGTTGCTTCGCCAGATCTGTGAGAAGGATATCGATCTTCTTCGGAAATGCGGTCTGATTGAAGCTGAGAGCCTTCGATCGACCCAGTTTGGCGACGCTATGGCTCGGTACTATATCCAGTTCGAGACTATGAAAGTTCTACTGTCGCTGAGGCCACAAGCGACCTTGTCCGAGACTGTGAGCCTATTCTTTCCGCGCTGTTGAAATGAAGTATCTTGACTGACATTAGTCCAGCTCACCGTGATTGCACAAGGCGAAGAATTCCGCGAGATCCGCCTCAAAGCCGGCGAGAAACCACTCTACCGAGAGATCAACCGTGATCCTGGCATTCGCTTCCCCATCAAAGTCGACCTAGCCCTCCCGGCCCACAAAGTCTCACTACTCATTCAATCTGAGCTAGGGGCAATTGAGTATCCCGATAACGAGCAATTACAGAAACACAAATTCACCTTCCAGCAAGACAAAAGTCTAGTGTTCGCGCATGTCAACCGACTAATCCGTTGTCTGATCGACTGTCAAATCGCCCGCGGCGACTCAATCGCAACCCGCAATGCCCTGGAACTCGCTCGGAGCTTCGGAGCGAAGGTCTGGGACCACTCGCCCCTACAAATGAAACAGATCGAGCAAGTGGGTGTTGTTACAGTCCGGAAGTTGGCTGCTGCTGGGATTACCAGTATCGAAGGTCTGGATTGTGCGGAGCCTCATCAGATTGAGATGGTTCTTAGCAAGAACCCGCCGTTCGGATCGAAGTTGCTCTCGAGATTGAAGGAGTTTCCGAAACTGAGGGTTTCTGTGAAGATGCTTGGAAAGGTTTGCAACTTAATATGGCGACAAATGTCATTTTGCTAACCTGGGATATAGGAAGTGAAATTTAAATGTGTCAATGTCCGATTCAAGGTTGAAGTCGCGTTCATGAACGACAAGGTTCCGACGTTCTTTCAACGTCGTCCGGTTTACGTGTGTTGCATGATAGAGAGGTCTGATGGCCACATAATCGATTTCAGACGCACAAGGTAAGATATTCATCCAGTTATCTCGTTATAGGCAAACGCTGATATTCTTCCAGTGCGAATAAGCTCCAGGAAAAACTGGAAATTGAATTTACCGCTGACTTGACGAGTCCGGAGCATGTCATTATCTGCGATGTTATGTGTGATGAGATCGGTAAGACCTTTGAACATGAACAAAAACTATTCGTGCTGACAATTATCCAGCGGGGACGTGGAGACAAGCTGAGCTTGAACCTAACCTGCCATCTCACATTTTTGCTGCTATACGGGATAAGAATGCCAAGGCCCAAATTACTGAAACCTCGTGTCATCTCAAGGGGAATTTGAATCCTAAAGACGCAGAGAAACCAAAGACCAACACGACTCGTCCCCACGGACGAGATATAACCAGTGTCAAGACAAAGTCGCGGTGGGATGTGGACGATTTTGATGGCGATGACCTCCAGCTCGATGATTTCCTCGTTGTGGATGAACGCCGTGGCAAAGCTAAGGAATCTACAAAGCCACATCCTGAACAGTTTGATGATATAGATTGGTTCTCAATGGATTCAACCCCACCGAGCACAGCTAAGAGAATACCGAAGGTCTCAAATCCCCGAGAAGAAGACTGGGCGGTTGATATGGACGAGCCAGAGGCTGAGTACGAGCCAGTCAGACTTGCGAATGGCAAATGGGCTTGCAACCACAAATGCAAAGACAAAACAAGGTTTGAGAATCTTTACTTTCTTTATTGTCAAGCTAATAACTTCAGCTGCAAACATTTCTGTTGCCGCGAGGGTCTGGAAAAGCCCCCGAAACCCCCGAAGGTACCGAAGCGGGCCGTCCCCGTGGCCCCAAAAGAAGCTGGTCTCAATCAAATGACTATCTCTGCAAGTATCACAAAGGCAACCCCAACCAGTAACTCGATTTCGAGAAACAAAGTGGCCAAACAACGCGTCACGGGGTTTAAGAATGACGACCGTGTTTCAAAGCCTAAGAAAATGCCGATGTCGCAGGCTGCAAAGAAGAATCCAAGTCGAGAGAAGTCTGTCCTTTCGGAGAGGGACAAGAATCCTTCATATAAGAGGGATTGGGAAATGAGTCCAATGAATCTCCTCTCGAGTGACTATGGTGACGATAACTTCGACGATTTACCGTCTCCATCACGACTTCTCGTAAATAGCGGACCAGGGCTTAGAACATCAGTTTCTCCGGTGGTGAATGGCCAGGCAAAGAAAAACATCACAGATGTTGCAATCATTGAAACGAAGCATATAGACCTCGAGCCTTTGCTCTACGCTTCACGGTCCGCCGTCCCGCAAAAAGACCAAACCAAGCCATCAACCCCCAAACAACACGAGATAATCGAGATTCTAGACGACACACCTCCAGACTCAACAAAATTGCCAATGACGACAAAAAAGAAGGAGTCTTCTGTCAAGCTGAACACGCTTCCACTTTCAACAAAAGCAGACCAAGCCCCCGATCTAAAACGGAAGGCGAGTCAAGTCGAAGCTCGAACAGAAGACCACAAAAAACGAGTGAAGCAAAGTCCCTTCGTTTCGGCTTTGCAGTTCCACACTTCAAACTACCTGAACGATATACAACCACTGAACCCCGAGCATCCTGCGTCTCCTGTTTCTCCTGTCTCTCCTGTTTCTCCCGGTGCTGCTGTTTCTCCTATGATCGGCGGTGGGATAGATTTGACTGCATCATTTGACGACGGAACAGATCTGCTTGACGAGTTCAAGGATATTATCAAATTTATCTAAATGATTGGGAAATGCTGGCCAAGTGGCGGAACTTTTTGTTTTCCCCTTACGCATCTCTAGGATTTATTTTGCGTGCTGGTATGTATGGTGCTGGGTTACTGAACTGGTGCAAGTTGCGGCTTTACTTTTATATACACTACTGTGCTATGCTACATTGACATTTATAATTCTCGGCATGAAATTATCCTGAGAGAATTTCGTTGCATTGATATTCTCTAATTTTTTGCACCCTGAAGGACGGTGTAGAGCTGTGATTATAGCATACCAACCACAATAAATTAAAGTTTAATTATCTCTTTCTGCACACATTTCTTGAATAGTAAGTACAGTAGTTATCGTAAAAAGTGTAGTGTCGATCTAGACATCCGTAACATAACAGCATATACATATCCTAGTAGACATTAACAGTCCGGTTGCCAATATAGAGACGACCGGGATTTAGGGCATTGTTTCGCCCATGGTAAGACTGTGAATGGACGGACCAAAGCTCGCAATACATGGGACTTCAAACTGTCCCTTCGTTCTTGGCATTATGAACTTCGGGTTTGTCCTCGGGGTAGTCCGTGTCTGTCCAGGTCTCCCAGAAACAGGCACCCTTCTTGAGCGAAGTGATAGTCTCCCAAATTAGAGTAAACACAAACAAGGCCATGATGATTGACAACACGTCAGTTGCATTCAGGTGGTCAGCCAGGGGCAAAAGGATCGTGATGATACCGACTGCAGGGCGCATGATGAGTCGGAAAGGCTAGGACAAACATTAGTGACTGGCGTGGTGGGATGCAAGTAATAGACGGAGGGGGCGTTGACTTACCTTGTCCAAGATCAAAGTCCCCGATTCATCATTGGACTTGTGCAGCAGAGCAAACACGTACAAAAAGATCATGCCTGCACCCAGACCGCCACAAAGGAGCCAGCGCTGTGGAGCTTCGAACTCTTTCTCGGCAACTGACTGTGCCGCAACATGTCCGCCAGCTAGCAGACTGGCAATAAGTGGTAGATGAATCAGGGCCCAGGAAAAAGCTGTATAAACCGAGTGCCGCAGGGGTGAGTGGTATTTAATGAGCCATCGGCGTGGGCATACAGCCAATTCAAACAGAACGCAATAACCAATGTCCAAACAGCTCGCAGAAGGCGTTTATTGAGTCCAACTGCAGCATAGGAGCCAACAATAATCAAATAGAGAAACTCGCCCAGCGCAATGATGTAGAATGCAGAGAACCGATCAATTTCGTGAGCGATATCCACTGCCGTCGACCACCTGACGCGAAGGAGTTTCTTACCAGCCGGCGAGTAGCACAGAATCCAAACCATGGTCTCAACCGAGATAGCGACAGCAGCAGCCGCGATCTTGCCGCGGATCGAGACTGACTCGAAGTATAGTGGGATGTAAATGCATAGTGACAGACTGGAAAGGACAACCCAGAGGCGCTGCTGCGGACGGTGGTGGTAGCTGGCGAAGGAGTAGAATACGTGGGCGAGGTTGCATGAGATTCGCGCGACCATGTAGGATCCCACGGCGGAGCGCATGGCACCGATCTCCTCGTCGACGAGTGGGGCGTTGTTGCCGTATACGACCAGTACGGCCATGACCCACAGAATCAGGATGCGCTGTAGGAGATCGTCGGTGTAGAAGGCGTTCATCAACTCGCGCAGATCGCTCCAAACGTTCCATGATGGCGCCAGGATCAGCTGTGAGCGTGTTAGCTTATCTATCGCGTCTGAAAGTGGATGGGATAGTGGAGGCGATGGTGGACCCGATAGTAGAAGGGCGGCCAACTCACAATATATTTGACCAGTTTGGCACCTGAGATGTCTTCAGCGAGGGTATCGGCGAAGTTCGACAGGATCGCGACATAGAGCAGATCGAGGAATAGCTCGAATCGCCCGGCTTGTCGCTCACCATCCTGACGGCGCATCAACTTCCCATCCTCGAACCATTGTAGGGCGCGTGGTTGGTGGAATAAGAAACGAGGATTTGACTGGGGCTCCTCAGGCGTTGAGGCCGACATGACTGTGCGATGTAAAAGAGATCGAGCCTAGCAAGGGGATTGAAAAGCTTAAAACGGGCCAATCTCTTGGCCCCACAGTTCGTCCCCGCAAATCAGATTGCACAATTTCGGATATATTATGTCATCAATTTTATACCCAGATCACATGACCGGGGAAACCATATTATCATTTGTCAGCATATGTTCGGCGAACCTGCTTTTCCAAGGCTGTTCTATTGTTACCCCGTTAGTTTCTAGTAAATTGCACATACTTGGACAATTAACATCCTCTCAAGAGCTTGTGCTCTCTGTGCAAAATCCGAATCATGAATTCGGCGAAAGTTTAGCGAAGTCGAGCAATGCGAACCGGCAATTTGCAATTCCGTATCTGAGTACTAGTTTGATCTCCTTCTAGAACATGTGGGGCTCGGCGGTATAGAGCATTAACACCCAGCCTTTTCATACCATTCAGGCGGGTAATCTGGCATAGGATGAGCGGGTATGGGGAGAAAATCCGTCGAATGTCTCGATAATCTTTGGGGTGATTTTGACGTTTTGTTTCGGCTGAAAGCAGGTGAGCATTAACCGAGGAATACCTGGAGCTCCCTGAGACTTACAAGGGATACTTTTGGATGTTCCTCCACGCACACAGAATAGCCTCTTTCTGCGCCATTTCATGATCTGATAAAGGATCCACAGACTCCAAGAGAAGGGAATTGAAGCTTCCATCTTTTCCATCAAATATCCACTGCATGCAGAACTCAAACAATCTTGGGTAGAAGCCCGCAGATGCCCAATCAATAAGGCACAAGGAGCCATCTTCCTGCCATATGATGTTTCGAGGTACAATATCCAGATGACAGAGCACGAGATCACAGCCCTGTAAATCTAAGTTCGGGTTATGCGCAAAAAGCCGGCTATTGAACCACTCCTCTATCCGGCTAAGACTGTCGAAAACCAGGTCTTCTGTTTGAGGGAATAGAAGGCCACGACAAGCGCCTCTATAAAGTGATCCAGGGATATTATACCTCAATGTTGCGAAATGCCCCAGCATGCTGGCAACCCTCTGTATAGCGCTAACGTCCTCTAAAGGATCGATGACCTTTCCTTCTATAAATTCCATCACAATATAACCCCAGTCTTGCTCGTCAGCAAAAAAAATCATAAACACGTGGGATACGAGCTATGCGGCTGTCCACAAGCTCATAAGCTATCCTTTGATTTTCAAATTCTTCTCTTATCACATCTGGGCCGCATTTAACGACTTGATGATCAGAGATTCTGATAATTCGTTTGCTGTATTGGCTAACAACGTTGCCAGGCAACGGGTTTGCGCAAGAAGCGATCACTGAGGCTCGTTGCGAGTCTTCGGGACGCGACATTCTTTTAGAATGGAAGACTAATTGGGAGTAAAATATCATAGGACAACCCAGGTCTGGGGATTCAAATTAGTTATAAAGATGATAAGAGAATGTCTTGTCTTGTTGGAAATAAGAAATATAACTTGGCGCGGAGCGGGGTAAAAAGGGGCCGAAGAATGTTATGGTAGCCCCCGTTTGTGAAAATCTGGAAAGCGCGAGTAAGGAGCGGTGTAAAGTAGAGATGCAACTCGCCGCTAAGTTTGCTTGTTAATATGGCGCCTGGGAGCATTGCTAAAACTATCACTAGGTACACAGCTAAGAGTTCAGGGTCCGTCAACGGTAGTGAGAATGTGAGGACAGTCGTTCAGAAAATTTCCTAGAGGACCAATTAACGGCTTTCGCCTATCAAATGGAATTTTCGTTCTTAAAGGATTCTTTTTGTTTCATTGCGGTAGTGAAATGTATGCCTAGGTGTATATACGTACATGCATGAATCTCCTACTGTGGCACGTGCTACACCACGTGCAGTACCCGGTATTCGGCCCGCCCCGGAGAGCCGCACCGCCTTGCGGGTACTGCCTCTAGGTACCCACCGCCCTCAGGGGGGTATAAGAAGGTGGCCCTGCCCCCGGAACTTCCTTTTCTTTTCTTTCTTCTTCAGCTCTCTTTGCCTCTGGCTTAGATCAAGTGTAGTATCTGTTCTATTCAGTTTAATCGCTGAATGTTCTGCATTGCAGAACGTCATGATTATACTAATTTTTGGACCTCGCGACTTGGCCTCTGTGCTTGCATACGCCTCGTTGCACTGTGTCACTGGGCTTACACTACCCTCGGTCGATGCGAACCCTCTTTTTTTTCATTAATCATTCGGCTTGTCCGGGTGTTTGAAGAAGAAAGCTGTAGAAGTTCCATCATGAAACCCCGTATGCCTCTCGTATCAACGCGCCCATCATCGACTAACAGATGCCTTTCTCTCACAATATGCCAGCTAGCTGTGTCATATACCTGTGCAAGTCCTTACTTGCAAACGAACCGTTTCCCATTCTCTCCTTTGACGCACTCCATACCGTGAGCAACCCGCTTCTCGACACGGTCGGCCTCTCCATCGACGAATTCCACACCATCATTAATTTAATCTCGACACAGTCGGTACCCTCCTTCAACACATATCCCACTACACTTCCCTGAACTATCACCCCCACAATCTGCTACTCGCGCAGTCAACTCCCTTCATACATCGCACAATGTCTTCTTCTTCTAGCAGCTTTGCCAAACTAAAGCTCCTAGAAATCATTCGTCTTAGCCCCTACTAGCGAAAACACCTTCTCTTTGTGGTCGGCCACATACTCGTGTACACTTTCAACACTCGTGACCCTCACCCTTTCGAGCTCCTTGCCAGCAAACACAACTTCCGAAAACCTGACAGCTTCCGAGTGAACATGTATCTCTCAGCACCTGTCGTGCACTCGCGGTACAATCCATGCATCTCATAAACCTTACACCAAGATCTCGCCTGACGCTAACGTCGCTTCCCAGAGTCTTTACAAGAGCCTTCATACTTACAGTCCCGGTCTCGAGAAGTTTCATAGCTCCCACCCACCTCCCCTCCACTTGGAAGACCAATATTAAAAAGAAGCTAGGTCTTGTACTACGCCCTATACCGTCGGGACCACCGCCAGTGCAAACAGCCTGCCTATATTCAATTAGAATTTTTGCCATAGACTGGCTGGGATAAGCAGGCCATCATGGATTACCAGGAAATGTCCGCTGGTCGTCATTATCTTGACTCCACTAAGTTTCCTATATCTTATACCTAGAATCACATATATCATTTCCTTTAATTCAATAGTTCTAATACCAGAGATCTTGCACTGCATTTTCTAGCAGACATTATATCTTTACATCTGTAGATATATAATGTCATTGTCACCGGCGACTTCATTTGCCCTAATAGCCAAAGTTAAATAACAATAAAGGTCTACAATTTATGCGGTACAATGTCAGACTCCAACTGCTTTGTGTTTTTGATGTCAGATTCTGTGTCTATTACCCAGCGTAAATCAACTCATGTTACATCATGGCACCTTGACGTCTCTCAGATCTCCCCTACCACAAGATCTTTCCAGATGACCCACAATATACATTATTGCCTTGAAGCTATATTCTACAAACACTGCGATGTATGTCTAAGCATAATCCTATTCTCAAATTCTTAGTAAGATAGACGAGAGGACAACTAGTATTGTAACACACACATGCTTTTCTTTCTCTGTACATTCAACAAAGGATTTGTATATCGTGGAGCCGAATCATCCAATAGATGCGGGTTCACTGGGAAGATAGCCCAGAGCCGATGTCGATAACATTATGTGAGAATCGTGTTGATTAATGGAATATACATTGACTGGGACTGGGAGGTTCGACACGCTCCTGCCTAATTGCGGTGTTGTTCTACCTTAGACATTAGGCATAAACTTTCTGTCGGAGTCAACCGTATGTGTAATAATGGGGGTCCAATCAATGGTGTAAAATCGTCTGAATTGTCAAGTTCGTCCCCCGCGCGGTGCGTTGGCTGACGAGAGATGAGAGGCATTGTTTCGGGCGAGAGGTGATGTTTTTGGTTGGGGCTCCCGATGCTATTTATCGTCGCCATGACCTTACAGTAGAATTCGAAAACAGACTACTCCGTACCCCTTGGACACACGCTTTCTTTCCCGGCGCCCCGCTCTGACTGCACTGAACCTAATCCAGTAGGAGTTGGTCTCCACCACCTTTTGTCCATGTATTTCTGGTAGATCGTCAAAATTACGGTGATTACACTTTCCGGCATTGGACAGACCCGCCTTGCCGGCTAAATGACTCGAGTAAGCTAAGCGGTCATGTGGTTTTGCAGCCCAGCAATAAATCGTCCCGCCCTAGTGTGACGTCGACTCAATTTCCCTAACCTATACCTCTCTATGTAGCATACGAAGCGTATTAATAAAACCATACTATTTTCGTGCGGCAGTTATTCGTTATATCTGCCCCGCCTAACACTCTAAAGGAGCCTACTTGTATAATACGCTTGTCGGGATTGTCTTAAGCTGTGACTAAGGGCAAAATTTGGGGATAAAATAGTAAAGAAGGAAAAAGCCAAGTAGGGATTCGATGTAAGGGTATATCGGTTGCCTAATCTTAATTAGAAATGGTGGTGGTGGTTAAAATAGTAATAGAAGTTGTATTGAAAACGAGTTGCGTTGACGGCCGGCTGACCTACCCCTGACTAACTAACTAACGTTAACTATGTGATAAAGACGAGGAAAGGTATGGTCACAGTCTGGATCGTAAGTGGCTTGAACAGATATTGTGAGTAAAAACGGAGTCACGTTCAACACGGTGTTGTTGTTTGTACGGTGGTCAATAGCTCTAATTTTCTTCGGAATAGATTGGAGGAAAGTGGCGACTAGAACTTCAGCTGAACTGCGGATATCTTGGAAGAGCAGGAATGATGTGCGGTTTATATCTACGTCATGCACTGCAGAACTCAGCGGGTTCGCTTAGGGTTAGAGCGATCACCATCTCCTCGGGAGGGCCGAACGCCGCGAGGAAGAAGAAACTGTGGGTCGTCCGTCCAATGAAATCATGATCGGCATACACCTTGCCCCTTCTAGATGCCAATTTAGGTTGAGTTCTTGCCAAGATCGTCAATACTACTGATCAGATCTTCCGCCCGTGTACAGTAGCACTGCGCACATTGCTTCATACTTCGGAGTTATTCGAAATCAAATTTATCGATATCTCGGCAAGTTGCAAATTTCACTGATGACGTAGAGAAGGACGATCAGACCATTTTCATGGCTCAGCTGAAAATCTAAGCTGAGAACGGAAGCTGAGCCGCCCAGATCTGTCTATAAATTAAGCTTTATACCCCTCTCTCCCACTCCAGCATCTACCATCCTTATCATAAGGTCGAAAACCACAAGACTCAATCTAATTCAATCCAAGCCCCAAGCCTAATCCTCTCAAAATGCCAGTCCAAATTGTGCAAGAGTACGCCTGCTTTTCACCTCAACTCCCTGCTTATACGACTAACCCTCATTTCTTCTTTTAGCCCCGAGGAAGTTTTCGAAGCTATTACGGAGAGCCTAAAGCCAGTTGTTGTGCATTACTGGGCTCCTTGGATGGGGGGAGAGTCGCCATTTATGCCTGTTTTCTTGGGGGCGGATGAAAATCGTGGGGGGGAAGAGATTGATTTTGTCATTGTGGATAGTGGATTTATTCATCCCGCGCATAGTCCAGATGAGATGCCCTTAACGGTTCTCTATCATGGCGGTGAAGAGGTAGATTCTGCTCCGTTTGATCCCGAAGCAGTTGAAGCACTCATTGAGGGAGTATAAAGAGCTGGAAATTGGGATAATATTATGCTAGGTAATATCATTGGTATATTGATTTATGACAGCTTATGGCTGGAGTGGTGATTTGACGCTTAGTTAACAATACTATTAAGGTGTGAAGAGGAAAGATGGTAAGATATGATATGATTGGCACAATAAACTGTAAGATAGTATATACGTGAATAAGATAGAAATAAAGAATGAAAGTAGATACGAACCACTACTTTTGTGATTCCTTTGACTATCATTCTAGAATAATAGTCTTAAACTCTGGGGAAGCCTCTAACCCATTATTTGAAAAGATCTCTTATTTGATATTGACTCGTTTTTCAAAATAATCCCGGTTCTTCGAAGGTATGTTAGCTTTGCTGGAAACCCCATCTTAAGTAAAGCTGGTAATGAATGAGACGCGCGTAAGATAGCGAGATTCACGGAGATACTAAAAACATGCGTCCCTACCAGGTCTAGCTGTCTACACCGTAAGCACAGTCTTCTAATTATAACTACTATAGCTGTGGCAAACATTGAGTGCGGGATGGATGGATCGATGATTTTATTCACTTTGATCTCGCGAACGGGTGCCATGGTGCATACTGTATTGTATGACCACGGGCGATTCGGCAAAGGTGGTTTGTCCAATGCCGGAAAGTGTAATTACCGTAATTTTGACGATCTACCAGAAATACATCGACAAAAGGTGGTGGAGACCAACTCCTACAGGCATTATCCGGTATATATGCGAATACGAATATAAGCGGGAGCGGGCGGGAGCACGTGCCTATAGCCGACACGTGCTCCTAGGTAAAAATTACGTCCCGATCCGCAGAGCCGCACTGTACCGCCTTTAAGGGTATTGCCCCCGAATACCCACCGCCCTTGGGGGTATATAGCGAGGCCTTCGGGCACGAGCCCTCTTCCTCTTTTCTTTCTTCCTCAGCTCTCTTTGCCTCTGGCTTAGATCATGTGTAGTATCTGTTCTTACCAGTTTAATCGCTGGTAGTTCTGCATTGCAGAATGTCATGATTATTCCAATATTTGGACCTCGCGACTTGGCCTCTGTGCTTGCATACGCCTCGTTGCACAGTGTCCCTGGGCTTACACTACCCCTGGTCGACGCGAACCCTCTTTTTTTCATCAACTACTCGGCTTGTCCGGGTATTTGGAGAAGAAATCCATCGTCCAATACCCCTTCTGATCTTGTTGTGGAGTTCCTTTATGTGTCTTGCCCCTCTGCCTCTGGGTCCTCTCTAGGCGTTGCAGACTGGATAATACGAGCTCTACGATGGTCTGTCTACTGATTCTCTAGACTTTCTGATCTTGATTTCCATGTCTCTTCGCTTGGCCTCATTCTAGTACCCGTGGGTCTTCGCAGGGACCCACCTTGGCGATAGGGAATAATTCCCTGCCCGGTCGCAATCGTCGCCCGTAAGAGATTTCACGTGCCAGTCCAACCCCGGGTCATCATCGTCGCTTCCATGGTCCATTTCCTTCTTTGATTCCTCGAAAGTTCTTTTGATTCTTCGTGTGTTCTTCGTGTCAAATATGGTCCGAGCCAAGCGCCAAAACACTCAGCCTTTGGAGGATTCCTCTGTGGCCCCCGAAACCTTCACCGACGGCCTACCCCTCCCGAAGTTGATCGCCTTCGACCTAGACTACACACTGTGGCCGTTCTGGGTAGACACACATGTCAGCGCCCCTGTGAAGGCCCGCGACCACAACTCGCGCGCCGTCGACCGGTACGACAAATCCCCCGATTGACATTATCTTTTGAAACTACTCAGATCTCTAACCCCGCATTCCTTGTCTCAAACAGATGGGGAGAGTCCTTCGCCTTCTATCCGGCGGTGTCGTCAATAGTCTACGCATGCAAACATCGCTCGATTCCACTAGCCCTTGCATCCCGAACCCAGGCCCCCGATCTGGCGCGCGACATGCTCAAATCCTTGCATATCATCCCCACTTTCTCCGATAACCCCGCCGCGAACGCTAAGACCATTCGCGCCCTCGATTACTTTGATTTTATCCAGATCTACCCCGGGAATAAGACATCGCATTTCTCGAGAATCCAACAGACAAGCAGTGTTGCTTATGAGGATATGCTGTTCTTCGATGATGAGGCACGGAACCGGAACGTCGAGACGGAGTTGGGTGTCACATTTTGCTTGGTGCGCGATGGGGTGACCAGGGAGGAGGTCGACCGGGGTGTGAGAGCTTGGAGAAAGCGTAATGGTATCAAGCGAGATACCATGGAGGAATCATGAGGATCCTTGATCGTCTTATCCGATGATTCCTACATTGGGGGATGTTGCGCTGTACACTTGGTTTGAGATTTTAGATACCCCGACTTGGAATTTATGAGAAATTCGGCTTTTTATGCTTCACAGCAATCCTTCAGTACCGATTTGAATAGAGTAACATTCAAAGTACATCGTATACTTCGACCTATCCATGGATGGAGCCATGCGTCCAGACATTTTGTTGAGCTGACTAAGATATTCACCCCCAAAGGCGGCGCGATGCAGCTCCAAAACAGGAACACCGTGCTGTCATAACTAGATCTCCTCGAAACACACCTCCTCCAACACAAACCACCAACATGGCGACCCTCAGACCTCCAACAAACACCCACCGCTCCTCATCCTCCCACAGCTCCGGTCCACCAAAAGCCCCCCTAAAAGCCGACCCAACAGCGACAATCGCCGACACGGTCATCTTCCAAGGGCGATACCTCGTCACTATCGGCGCAGGGACAGTCATCCACCCGCGCGCGAAATTCTACTCATACGACGGCCCAATCGTCGTCGAGGACGGCTGTATAATCTGCGAGAAAGCGGTAATCGGCGCTCCGCCAAGCTCATCTCGCTCACCGTCACCGTCCAGACCAGCAAGCACAACACCCACCGAGTCTAGGGTGTCGACGCCTGAGCCTAAGAAAGAGACATCGACGCGGATATCATACTTTGTTACTGTCGGCCCGTTGGCGACGGTCGAACCCGGTGCTCATATCCATTCTTCTGCTACAATCGAGGCTCTGGCGGTGATTCGCCGGGGTGCGGATATCGGTGCGCACTCGAAGGTGTGTTCTGGGTGTGAAATTGCCGCTGGGGGATCAGTTGCTGAGTGGGTGGTTGTATATGGGCAGGGCCCGGGAATGCGGAGGAAGAGAGCTCGTGGTGTGAAGGGGGTGAGTCCGGCTGTTGTTGCTGCGGCGCAGGTTGCACAGACGCCTCTTCCTGGTCCTGCGCCGGCGGGCAAGGTTATTGAGGATGCGAGGTTGATGGTTTTGCAGAAGGAGAGGGAGATACTTGGGAGAATGCTTGTTCCTGCTGCTGGGAGGAAGAAGTGATTTCAAGGTGCCTCGTCGATATTTTTTTTTGTTTTGAACTTGCGTTCTTCTGTATCGGACCAGATTTCTTGGATTCGTGTCTTCTAGCAGCTTATACCCCAGTTTGTGTTTACAGTGGTTAGTATATCGGAGGTCGTTACAAGGATGGTGCACGAAATACCTCGCAATTGAACTATATCAATTGAGAGTAGGAATATAAACCCGTAGGAACGCCACACATTCAGTAGATAAATACAGGACAACAAAAAAAAAAAAAAAAAACAAAATAGCTTTCTGCATAGCAGATTATAACATGAAAAACAATACACCATGCGGAATAAGCAGACATAGAAACCCATTCATCGACAGGTTCCCGTCGCATTTGAATGAAATTGAGAATACATCAATGAGATAGAAAAAGATGGACAATGAATGCTGCCTAAGACGAGGCTCCACCACGAGCCTGAGGGCCACCGCCGCCTCTCTGTCTTTTTCCACCACTTCCACCATCGGTGGTAGTGTCGGGGCCATCATCACGAGAGCGCTTGTTGCCCGCCGGAATGAACTGACGAGCTGAAGCACTCAGATTCCCACGGTTAGCAGTGGGGCTTTGAGCCTGAGCGACGTTATTTTGATTCTGGTTACCACCGCGACCTTGTCCGCCACGACCGCCACGACCGCGCTGGAGGCCCTGGCCGCGCTGGTTTTGGCCCTGACCACCTTGCTGCTGCTGTTGGTCATGTTGTTGATGGCCGAATTGCTGGTTACCACCTCGACCACCTCGTCCACCTCGTGCAATCGGAAGTCCAGACTGAAGAGCGCGCATCAGACCAGGCGGGTTTCCGGCGGGAGGTTTGCTGGGAAGAGAAGAGGCATGCTGATTTTGATCGGGTTGCTGAACTTGGCCGAACGGATTGGCTGGCGTTGCGGGCTGTGTCCCACCTTGCTGGGGGACAGCAGGTCCAGAAGACGCAGTTGGAGGCGCGGCTTGCTCCGGGGCTCCTACCACAGGGACTGAGGCAGGAACGGAGGCAGGGGCCGGGGCCGAAACCGGGACTTGTGGCGCTGCTAGTGTTGGAGCAGGACCAGCGGGTTGGACTGGTACAGGTGGCTTAGCAGCCGGAACTGCAATTGGTGCAGGCCGAGCAGTCTTTGCAATTTCCCAAACTTCCACAACAGGCTTTTGTGGGGTCTCTGTGGCAGCTTTTGATACCACATCAATCTTGGCATTCGCAGTTCGGAACCTGGTGTCAAGCATGCTGAGACGGGCGGCTGTTTTCTTTTCGACAAGTTCGACTGCCGAGTTGACCTTCTCCTTGAGTTCATTCTCATGGGCCTTGATCAATGCCTCCTTTTCCTCGGTCGACTTCTGCTGTAGTCCAGCCAATGCGGCTTCATTAGCACCGGAGGAGGCTTGAGCTTCTTGTTGGAGTTTTTGTTGTTCGCGTGCCACTTGACCGCGGATGTTGTTTCGGACGATTGTGCGAATAGTCTCATGCTTCGCGACCAGCTCTCTTGCTTGAGCATCTGTCAACTCAGGAATAGTAAACCCGGCAAGCTCAAACGTCTTTGACGGCGTTGCAGGGGTTGCATCCGGGGCCGCACCTGGTGTTCCAGGTATGGATTGTTCACCGGCGGACAGTTTCTCAATTTCTTGACGATGAGCAGCCTTAACTTCGTTCAGCTTAGAGTTGTACATATCCTTAAGGCGGTCAGCGCGTTCCTTGACCTTCGCATCTTGTTCACTAGCCTGTGTCGCTAGAAGTCCATCCTTCTCGGCAAGAGCTGCCTCGAGTCGCTGTATCTTCTGCTCCAGGGCTTGTATCCTTTGATTGTCACTAGGACCAGGGATTTGAACTGTCGCGGTTGGGAATTGTGAAGCTGGGGTAGCGTTGACGGGAGCTTCTTGTTCGGCAGCTGGAGCAGGAGCAGGAGCAGGAGTAGGAATAGGAGTAGGTGACACATTGGCTGGCGCCTCTGCCACCTTGGTTTTCAACGCCTCCAATTCGTTCTTTGTAGTCTGAAGTTCCAATTGGATGACCTCTTTCTCCTGCAACGCCACATTGAGCTCATCCTGCTTGGCCTTGACACGCGCGCTAAGGTCCTTAGAGCGTGCCTTGAATTGCTCTGTGAGCTTGGATCGCAAGTCTTGCGCACGTTCATCAGAATGCTGCTTGAGCTGCTCTGGGAACTGGGCGATTTGAGCCTGAAGTGACTCCATCTGGGTTTGGAGAGCTTCCCGCTCGGACACGGCCTCGTTCTTCTCCTTCTCGAGACTCGAGAGCTTCTCCTTCAACTCTTGCATCTCAGTAGGATCGACGCGGTCGTACTTTTGAAGGATATTTTGAATACGTTGTTGGTATCGGTCACGATCGGCCTGTAGAAGCTGCATTTCTCCATCCTTGGCTTCACTCTGGCTCTCCAACTCGTGGATCCTGGTCTTGAGGGGTTCGATCTCCTGGACCAGTTCATTCTCGCGGGCGATCTTTTGATCACGTACGGCCTCGGTTTGTTTCAGTTGGTTTCTGAGAGTGGCGTTGCTTTCACGGAAAACGTTGAGCTCATTGATAGTATCCAACAGCTTACTGTGATTCAACGCGTTGTGATCGCTGTCGGCCGCAGCACGGCGCTGCTGCTCAAGCTTCAACCGGGTCTCATCAAGCTGCGACTGAGTGTAGTCGAGCTGCTGGTTGAGGCGCTTGCTTTCCTGGGTCGACAGGTGGTATTGAACCTCGACAATTTCTTTCTCGCGACGCAAGAACTTGATAACCTCCTGGAGGCCCTCGAGGTTGGGGGCGGCCTGGTCTCCCTCTGCCTCATCGTCTGAAACATTCATTCGGTCCCGCTGTAAGGACGAAATCTGGCTGGTGATGTTTTCAAGCTGCGTGTGAAGCACAGAATTCTGGTGAAGAACCTCCTCCCGACGCTTCTGCAATTCAGAAAGCTCACCCTCGTACGTGGCTCGCTGTTCCGCCCAGCTTTCCTCCTTCTGAGACAGATCTGTTTTGTAGCCCTCAGATTGGGTTCGCAGCTCAGCAATGTCGAGCCTGAGCTGGTTGCTCTCTGCACGAACAACTTGTAGATTCTTCGCTGCCTCGGCGTGCTTAACAAGCTCGGTCTCATAGTTTTGTTGGGCATGCTTGGCGATTTCGGCCTGCGCATTAAGGTCCTCCTGATGGTATTGCGCAGCAGTGACATGTCGTTCATTGTCGGCCTTGAGACGAGTAATTTCCGACTCGAAGTTGGCCTTCTGCTCTTCCAGGCGGCGGGTTGCCTCCGCTTGCTCTTCGCGGAGCTTGGTCATTTCAGTGTTAGAGGTGGACAGTTCAGCTGAGATTTCCTCAATGCGAGTTTCGAGGTCCTGAATCTTAGTATTCTTCTCCTCCACGAGTCGATCAGTCTCTTCGCGGTATTGTTCCTGGGTCTCGGTGGCAGACTCTAGACGTTCTTCACTGGCTTGGCTGATGGCCTGGTAGTCTTCGGCCAGTTGCTTGGCGTGTTCTAGCTCGCCCTTGGCCAATTCTAGGTCCCGTTTCAGTTCGGAGACTTCGATTGAAAGTTCCTGCTCGCGAGAAAGGCCACTTCCTTCACCAGACTCCTGATCCTCGGTAGGACCCTCGGTGGTGCCGGCAGACACGCTTGGTCGCGAATTCACGACCTGCAGACGCTCTTCGGCGCTCTTGAGCTCGACTGCAAGCTCATCCACGCGGGATTGTAAGTGATCCCGGGTAGTCTTCGCAGCAACCAGCTCTTCGCGGACTGCACCCAAGCTGGTGACCAAATCGTCAATTCGTTTTTGTGATGTCTCCTGCTCGTACTCCCGGCGCATGCTGGCCTTCTTAGATTCCTCAACTTCATCATTGAGCTTGCGCTTTGTCGATTGCAGTTCGCTTTCGAGGGACTCGACGTTGGCTTGGAGTCGACGTCGGCTCTCGGAGTCGCTATGTTCACGCTCGTTGAGAATGGTTTGCAGGTTTGCGTTCAATGAGTCTAGACGACCGCGCTCGTTACGCAAATTTTCGGTATCATCGATGAGCCTCTTCTCGATATTCTTCCAAAGGGCCTTCTCGGCCTTCAGATTGGCATTTTCTCTCTGAAGGCTCTCAACAAGACCCTTAGCTTCCACAAGGTCTTCAGCAGCTTGCTGGGTGCGGAGATCCTGTCGGTTTGCATTTTCGAAGAGAGAAGAATACCGCTTCTGGATTTCAACGTTCTCATTCTTGAGCATAGTGAAGTTACTCTGCAAAAGCTCCGCACGTTGGGAAGCAGCAGCAAGTTGGCTGTTTGACCGACTGATGTCAGACATAAGCTCACTGTTCTTACGTGACAGCTCATTGACCTGTTGCCGCAGTGCTTTGTGGTCTGTTGTCGTTTCTTCACGGAAAGTGTCGAAATGGGCTTGAACTTTTCGGAGCAACTCAGCGTAGTCGGGTCCTGAAGTGTCCATGGCTCCTTGGGGAGCAGTACCAAGAGGCATGGATTGTGAGAAGACAGACGGGTCGTCGATGGTTGGCTTTCTGTGCATGAGCATACTGCGGAATGTGTCACGCTCCTTGACGTAACTTTGCATCTGTGCGCTGAGATTCGCAATCTCATCACGGTTTGTCTGCGCACGGATCCGTAACTCCTTCAACTCGTCGAGTTCTGCACGTCGCGTAGCTTCCTTCGCTTGTGCCTCTTCACCCTCCTGCTTATCACCAAGTTCTCTCAACATACGGCGGAGAGTGTGGTTTTGATCTTGTAGTTCGTGAAGATCTTTGAAAGTTGTGAGGTGCTTGCTGATAAAGCGACCAGTTTCATTGAGATCCTTCGCTGACTCCTCGACTTCACCCCGAGCAATTTTCTCAAGCTCCTCGCGGTCGTATTCTTCGCCATGTTTTGCGACAGCAACTTCTAGGACAAGAACCTTGACTTCCGCACTCAGATCGCGAAGTTGCTGGCGAAGGATATCCCCCTCGCGAGCTAGGCCCTCGACATGCCCTTGCCATTTCCTGGCTTCCTTGAGGGCGGTATCCCGTTCCTTCCCGGCCGCTTCGAGGAGAGTAGACATTTCCACAACAGCATGGTCGAGACGCATTTGTTCTGCTCGTCCCTCCTCAATTTCGGGTCTGGTTGAATCAAGTTCAAGAACCATCTCGTCAACGGTATTCCGGAGCTCCTGGCAGGTTCTCTGCTCAGCTGCAAGAGCGGTGCGCATTCTGTCGTACTCGGAGTACATCTGTGTGACATTCATACCACCCTTACCACGAGATGTCCGAGGGGAGAACGAGCCAGTGGGAGTGCCAGCACGCATGATGCTTGATCGTAGAGGTGTACTAGGTGCACCTCCATTAAGAGAGACAGCGGGGCTTGCTGACCTTCCTCTGGCAGGTTCAAACTCAAGCTGGGCAACAAGTGCCTCGAGTTCGGCAATTCGGCGCTCAGCAGCTCCCTTGTCGTTGGACTCCGTCTCAAGCTCCACACGGAGGCGTGAGATTTCCTGTGCTGCGTCATCCTTTGTCTTTTCGAGAGCTAGTTGACATTCTTGCACCCGTTGCTTGGCCGTCTGGGCAGCAGATCCTTGTAGCTCGGCCAATCGGTTGGAGCTGTCAAGTTCAATGCGGAAGGATTCAGTTGCCTGGATGGCTTCCTCTTTCAACTGATGAATGCTGGCCAGAGAAGTTTCGTATCGCTGCTCTGTTTCGTCCAAGCGACTCTTGAGCGAATTCTCACTTCTTCGAAGAGAGTCAATTGTCGAGTTTGCTTCTTCATTTTCACGCTGAAGCTCCGAGATCCGAGCTCCCTTTTCTTTGCGGAACTTGATGTATTCGGCGGATTTTGTTTTCAGTTCGGTCTCGAACCATTCGTTGTTCTTTTTAGTGAGATCCAGTTCTTGTTGAAGGCTCTGTTCGCGGAAACGCGCGCTGGCAGATGCGGCATTGGCACTCTGGAGACTTTGCTCCGCGGTGGAGAGTTCACGTCGTAATTCGATGGTCTTCTTGTGCTGAAGCGAAAGCTCCTCTGCCAATTTATCATAGGCCGCAGATTTCGATTCGAGCAAGCCCAATGTGTCTCTGTTGGACGCCTCCAAAGATGATATACGCGCTTTCAAAGATGTAGTTTCGGATTCGTTAGACGTGGACGAGGATTTCAGTGTAGAAATTTCTGTCTCTAGTGAGGAACGCGTAGTTTCTATTCAATGTTAGAGAAAAGCTCGTCAGTACTGAAAAATATAGAGATATGTACCAGCTTCATGCAGCTTTTTCCTCAGATCTGCGACCTCCGCGTGTCCCTTCTCCACGCTAGCTTTCAGAACCTTGACCTTCGACTCATTGCTGCGCACAGAATTTTCAAGCTCTACCTCCAAGCGAAGCTTGTCGGACTTGAGCTCGTCGGATTCATGGGCCTTTTTATTGATTGATTCTAAAAGTTGATTGACAAGCTCCACAGTTGGGGCCTGCCTTAGGGTCGTGAGAGTCGATTCGGGAAGCGCATAGTGGGATGATAGGTAGGGTAGTTGAATGGCAGTTTCAGCCATGTTGTCAAACGAGGAACAGCACTGAGCTGTCGTGGCGAAGAAATCAAGAAAAGCAAGTATGAGCGGCCCTCGAGGACTGGCGCGCCGTGTACTGTTCAGAGACAACTACACACAGCGCTGGGCGAGAGACCTCAGGTCATGACGATGTGGACAAACTAGATGTGTGTCTTCCGAGGGAGAAAACGAAGGATTGAATGATATAGTAATTGGAAGAAATGGTGGTGAGATGACTTCAAGGGCTTCCGAGATCCATTTCCGCGCCTTGGGGTGCTGAGCTCTTGCACGTGACATTCTTTGTCTCGCCTTCAATCTTTTAATAGCCACTCTCATCGAAGCTTCACTACTTGTCTAGGCTGTCCTCATTCTCTACGCAGCTCTTTTTGGGTGTATTCTCTTCTTTTCTTTCGGATAATACTTACCACCGGTACCTTTGCCAAGCCCTGTTTGAATCCTCCAGCTCGATCTGGTCAAACCGAGTGGCTACCACCTCAGCTCTGTCCCATTCTCCCCTTGAATTTCAGCGATCTCCAATCCTTCGTCGCAACCATGTCGTACCTTCAGAATCAGCTCAAAAGCTTCAACGCCAGTGTCGTGGAATCGGCAAACCGCATGCCTACGCAGCGGCGTGTGGTCAGTAACCAACCGATCTCTGGCAGCAGTTCTCAGGTCCCATCGTCCACACCGACCCCTTCATCCACTACCGAGGTCAAAAAGAAGCGTCATGACCCGGACATCGTCTACTCTCAACCGGCCAATACAGGCACGGGCAAAGATATCATGACGCAGGTGCTGTTTGCGATCGAGCACATGAAGAACAAGAACATTCCGCTCAGGTTCTCGGATATCATTTCATACCTCTCACTCCAGCATCGTGCTCATGACCAGGGCTACGTGCAGGCTCTTCGGAGCATTTTGCAGATGCATGAGAAGGTTGAGTTTGACCCGAGCGGCGCGAACGGCGAGGGCACATTCAGGTTCCGCCCACCTCACAACATCCGCAACTCGGAGCAACTTCTGAAATTCCTCCAAGCCCAGACTACTGCGGCGGGTATGAGTGTTCGCGAACTTAGGGAGGGCTGGCCTACCGTCGAAGAAGAGATCAACCAAATGGAGAAGGAGGGAAAACTACTCGTGACTCGAAACAAGAAGGATGAGCATCCCAAGATGGTGTGGCCTAATGACCCGTCTCTAATTGAACACTTCGACGATGAGTTCAAGCAGATTTGGGACAAGATCAAAGTCCCAGATGTGAATGTAGTGAAGGAAGAGTTGGACAAGTTCGGCATCACACCCACCAACAAGAACAAGGTGCTCGGTCCCCGGGTGATTGCGCCGTCTAAGAAGTCCAAGAAGCCACGTCGAAGTGGCAAGACCACCAACACTCATATGACGAGCATTCTGAGGGACTACTCGCATCTTAAACGGTAAGTCAGCAAGGGTCTCACTTTACTGTTGTCACATCAGAAGTTGCCTTGATATTATCGTGCTTTGCATTGCTTTGGCGTTTGGGAGAAATGCATGCGGCCTCATTCTCACCGCATAGAAACTGGTTTATTACTTTGACATTTGCTTCGACAGCATTGACATTTGTACACTACACACGTAGAAAATGATAGATACCCAAATAAAAAAATTAATTGATTCCTTACAACCCTAGCTACCTCAGATTCCAAAGTTTCTTCATGTACCCAGTTAGTCCACCATCTCTCTACCCTCATGCTCTCACCCGAAGACACAAGTCTATAACCCGAATATATGCATCAATTCATCCAAAAAATGTATCCAAGAGAAGGCGTAGTGATGTACAAGGTACCCCAAAGCACACGACCCAACAAAAGCGATCTGAATATAACAACCCGAAGATCAAATGCAAGCCCCCAATCATTGCTTCCCATTCGCAGCGGCACCAGTACCGTCACGACGATCCAAGTACACCACCAAATCCTCAATAGTACACACCTTAATCCCCCACTTCTTTCCAAATCGCAAGCATCCATCCCGACGCATCATGCCATTATTCCCCCCAATCTCCGCGACGCCCTCGACAGTCTCCCCGTCCTCAACAAGCTCGGCAATAACACCAGCCGGCGCCTTACCAGCAAGCTTGCAGAACTCCACCGCGGCCTCGGTGTGACCCGTGCGCTCGCGCACGCCGCCCGGACGCGCCTGCAGCGGGATGATATGGCCTGGCCGGCGGAAGGAGTCGACCTGTGCCGTGGGCGAGGCGAGCGTGCGGCACGTCAGTGCGCGGTCCCCGGCGGAGATTCCTGTCGTCACGGATTCGTCGCTCGAGTCGATCGTGACTGTGTACGCGGTGCACTTCGGGTCGGCGTTCTCGGTTACCATTTGTGGGAGCGCGAGGCGGGTGGCGAGGTCCGGGGTGATCGGGGCGCATATTAAACCGCTGTGTTTTAGAATTGTCAGCAAGGTTTTTGGGGTGGCTTCAAGTTTGCGCGTTTGTCTTTGAGGGTGCGCTATTGCGGGGAGGGAAGACGGGTTTCGTCGCTGTCTTGATCGGGTGGGTTTCGTACCTCGAATAGCGCACCAGGAAGGCCATCTGGGCGGCTGTGATGGACTCGGCGGCAACAATTAGGTCGCCCTCGTTTTCACGATCTTGCGAATCGAGCACAATGATGAATTCGCCATTCTCTAGTGTAGGGCTCCGTTAGTCGTTTGGTCGTTATTTGGTCTAGTCGGAAGGCGCCACGAGTACTGCATGCTCGTTGTGCATGCTCGTTGTGGTGAAATCGGTTTCTCTGTAAAGAGTTCACTTACTAAATGCTGCAATTGAGTCCTCAATCGAGTCGAATTGGTGTGCGATTTCTGTTGGTGAAGGCATTTTGATTTATTTTTGCCCCTCACTGCGGAATTTCAAGGATGGGTAGTTTGAGATGCACGGGGTTGCAGGCAATATGAATAAGAAGAGGTCGAACAATTGATCAAGAAAAGTAATATTCGGATTGGCCTAGAATCAAGAAAGAAGAAGAAGACTGAAGACTGAGTCACTGGCTGACAAGAACATTAGAAATGCCCGTGATGTCGGCGCGGGGGAGCCGAAACGCGGACCGGGCGATTGCTAAGCCTCGGAGCTCCGAGGTCTATGAATGTCGTTAAATCCGAGTTTCTTCCCAAATTGTAGCATATTCCATAGATTACTGCCCAGATATTGGCATATACTCGTGTTTCCGACACATCAGCCCACTAGAACTGGGTATCCGGATGCAGCGGGTGTAGAGAAACTACAAGCCAAAACTTTGACTCCCCATCCAGCGGACCTCATCCGCCTGCCTCTCAAGCGCACGGCGCATATAATCCCCATACCGCTGCTCTTTCTCCCAATCATCACGCCGTCTATGTCGCATCTGTTCACGTGTAGCTTCATCGACCTCCGCATGCATAAATACATCATCATCCTCGTCAACTGCTTTATCATCTGTCTCCATCTCATAATCCGCCGGAATAGAAAATCTGAGACGACCAATGCGCTCTCCAGTCCAGATAAGGAGCTCATCACCAGTAAGATCCCCACCAGTAGGAAGAATCTTGCGAGCTACCTCGTTATTCCCCGTCGATTGGGAGTGCCAGAGCCCACGCGGCTGCTGGTCTTCTTCTGTCTGTGGAGTTGGCTGTTGGCTGCCCTGACCGAATGGTATATAAGGCTTTGAGTTATTGATATTCCAGCGCCGGACTTCTGAACGACCGTCTCGCTCTGTCCACTTGATGTTGCCCTCGGCGTCGGAAAAGACGATCCGATTCCCATGCGACCCCACGGAAAGTAGTTTGGAACTCGCGGCGCTTTGGCGGTTCTTGTATTCTGGGTTGAGGGTGGATGTCATGTTCGAGGGGCTGTGGTCTTTTTCGGGTGCTGATTTGAGATTATAGAGTTCCAGCGAGCCTCGTCCGTTATAGTCTCCGCATGCTACGACAGAATGTGACTCAGGGTAGATGGAATTCGAGAAGACCGGGAATCGAGGCGCTGGTACCGAGGCAAGACTACATAGTCGGCCGCCGGAATGGACTGTGGTCTGTAGCTGAGGGAAGTAGCGGCGGTCATAACATAGGATGCTGGGGAAGCGCCCTGCAAGGAGAATTGTATTCACATGAGGAGCTGGCGGATGCAGGATAGAAAGAGGGCCAGGTTGGAAGACGGGCGCGTAGTTGGCTCCTTTATCTAAGGGTTCTGGACTGCGTATGCGAGTAGGTGACTGTCCGTTGGATTGCAGTTGGCGTAAGGGCGAATCAGAGTGGGCAAAGATGCCTAGTCGGGAAGCGTATGGCCCGGCTACCTGCTCGCATCGCAAGCTGATTGCCTCTTCCTCCTCGACGGCTGACAGTCTGGAGTCATAGATCTGCAGGCTGAGTGTAGTGGCTAGTGTCAATGGCACTGAGTAATCCGTCTCCTGAGAAAGGGCAAAGATCGACCAGGGATAGCGCTGCTGCGAAATCACTTTTAATGTTTCCAAGTCAACTTCATTGAGGACATTCCCAACTGCCAGATACGCTCTTTGTCGCAGAGAATCCACGCTCACTCCCTCGCCTAGATTTATAAATTCCAGCGAAGTCTTGGAGGGGGAATGATCTCGACGACCAGACAGGCTGGCCATGAGAATTCCGGGCTCACTGATCCCAAGGATCTTGCCTTTACTTGCTCGAGAGTCAGCTGAGTGTGAATTATTCAGGTCCCAGATGCAGACGCTGCCATCTTCAAGCGGGGCAATGATCTTGTTCTGACTGGCTGAACTCCAGTCTTTGAGTAGTCCCATGCCTTTGGCCTCATAGGACTGGCCTCGTTTCCCTTCACTTTTGCGGACCGAGGGCTGCTCAACCCAGGATAAACATATGGGCCCGTGACGAGCAATGTATTCCGAATACCAGTCCACATGCTCCCCCTCGGTTGATGAGTCCCATTCCGCTGCCGCCCTCGCCCTTTCAAACCAAGACCATTCCTCATCAGAGTCTCCGTTCACCGGCGGAGCAGAGGGCTGAATAATATCAAGCAGCGACTCCTGCCCCAGGGTCGTCAATGAGACAGGAGCATCGCAAATCAGACTCTCCGAGGATCTGGCAGCGGAGCGGGCAGCCTGCCGAGCAGCCTGTCGAGCAGCCCATGACTGCTCATAGCAGTGCAATCTCCATTGAGTATTATCGCGGGCGAGGTCAAAGAATTTTTTGGAGGTGGACTGAAGGTTGACCTTTTCGCGTGGAGCGAGGTCTGTTTATCGCCGAGTTATCAGTTCTCCGTCGAAATGGTGCGGGGAAGGTCCGGGGCTTACGGTCGATGATTTTAGACAGAATCTCTACCGGCAGCTTATCCATGGAGAGGGATCAAGAGCATTGAGGGCAGTCTCAGGAGGTAAAGTCAGCCACAGGGATATCGGCCTTTTGTTGGAGATTCTAGACTCTTTTCCTGTCGGCTTTCCTCCGCAATCTGCGCTCCAGACCAGACCGTCACGCGGATTCAATTCGCATGGGACGAACGACTGGACTAGATGCAGAATTGATCGAAGTACATGTACGTATGAGAATGGTCTTTCATACACTGAGTGATGACGTCTGGAGGGCGCTGTTGAGATAACTTCAGACCCGGGAGACTTTTCCGGGTATGGGATCCACTGGATTTTATAGAATGACTCTGGAGAAAGGGAGAACATTCTGATATATTCCACGGCACAGCCACCTCTCGACAACGATGTTAAACTAAGAAAATGCTTATCGTTGACATGGCAGTACGCACTCGTGTTGTTATATGTGGAAAATACGGAATATCCTTGCCAAACAGATCAAGATACGTTAATATATTGTTGAAGCATATCCATCCATCTTGGAAATAGAAAGTATTTGAATGATCTGAGGCCAAACTCCAGCCCAGCCCAATTTCCCCCACCATCAATCAGTCATAACTCGTATATTTGAGATAAATTATGTAGGCAAAAGCATTAAACAAACAGAAGATGACGGTCTATAGAGGCAAGTAGAGACACCTCTACTCATCCGGTCTAAAGACGGCATCTTTGCAAAGGATCACCACCTTTTTAAAGAAACGTCGCCATTCAAGCGGATCACCTTTGATTTTGACGAATTCCGCTTCAAATAACCCCTCTGAGACACACTCAATGAGCACTTTACCCTGGAGTGGACACATCCTACCATCCTTGGCAATCACCCGAATCATGGCAGAAGTATCTCCAGAACCAACAGCAGGGACAATCGGAACTGGAACCCCCAGTCGGTGGAATGCCTCACAAATGAGAGGCACGAGAAGCTTGAGCTCCCATGCAGAATAGAAACGTGTCATTGAACGCGAAGGGATAATATCCTGGAACCTTTGTGCGTTTTGAGTTCGGCTCATAGGCACTGAAGGCTGCTGTGAGAACTGCGACATAGAAGGCTCATCTTCGAGGTGGCCCGCCAGTGCTGCATCCTGAGAGGCAAACTTCTTCCCAAACGGCTGGGTTGAAGAAAAGACATCACCATTCTGTGGACTGTCCCAGTCCATCAACATACCACCGCCCAGCATCTCTGGCTGTGTCGAGGAGAAGCCTGAAGTTGCGCCGCAGTCATCCACATCCATAGGATCAAAGCTGCGACTCGAACCCTTCCCAGATCGGGAAAGAGGGTCTTGACTGAAGTCGATATGAAGCGATTCAAACATCGAGGTGGCAAGATTAATTGTATCTCTCAACTTGCCATCGGTCGAGAGGTATTTGTTTGCACGAGTGTACCAAGGATGTCTTCGGACATCCTCTAGCGAGAATCGTTTTCGGGGATTCACTGTCAACATGCCACGCAGTAGTGATAATGTAGCGGGTGGTAACTTCTGCCAGAGCTCATCGGTGGTCCGCGACTTTGTTGCAACATATTCGTGATACTCAAAGCTATCGTCTGTCGGGCTATCCCACGGCGTGTTTCCGGCCAATAGGACGAAAAGAACGATGCCACAAGACCAAATGTCAGCTAGGTCCGGGTGATACCCAGCTCCTTTGTTCTGACCCCGACTACTGCTGCTAATTACCTCGGGTGCAATATATGGAGGGCTGCCACAGAACGTGGTGGAGAGTTTCCGCGTTCCTTTGTATTCGAACAGCGCCGCCAAACCGAAGTCTGCGATCTTGAGATTACCGTCGCCGGTCAAAAGCATGTTCTCGGGCTTGATATCCCGATGACCGACGCCCTTGGAGTGCATGAAGCTCACCGCGCTGATAAGCTGGGAGAAATAGACATGCGCAACATCCTCGCCCACGCCCTCGTCGGCCTCAATCTTATCAAAAAGATCTCCACCTTCGGCCAATTCCATTGCGATCCAACGCCACACCTCATCCTCGCCTGTCTGATAGAAGCTGATAATATTCCCATGACCTGAGACATGTCTGTGTACCGTGACTTCCAGTTGTAATTGTCTTGCGCTAATTTTCCCATGTCGCGCGGCGTAATCTTTGTGGATGTACTTGACGGCGAAAACGGGGTTGTCTGAATCCAACGGGCAGGCTTTCTTAATGCTAGATAGATTCAACCGAGTTAGATCTAGTGCTTACCATGGATCTCGTTCTTACCATGCATAGGCACCTTGGCCGATAGTCTTGGACACGATGCGAAACGGCACATCGTTCGGGAGCGGGGCCAGCTGCGAATGTTGCATTGCGAGGAAGCTGGCAGGGATTTGAGTGGATGCGATCGGATGGAACGGTGAAAACACGAAAGGACAGGAAGTAAATTAAGATTAAAAAGGCATAACGAGTGGGAAACAAAATAAGATGAGATGTCGCGTCGAAGCAAGGGTAGCGAGACGCGGGATAAGACGCGGACCACTTTATCCTGATCGGGTAGTCTGTTGACAACATTGGAAAGTCACAATACAAGAGGGCGAGGGAGGGAATAGCTTCACTTTGTCTGGTATGAGACGGCTCTATACTGCATGTGCAACTATACAATGCTCTATTATTATACTACGATATGCTATTAATACCTTGAGCCTGCAGACCCGCAGTTGATTTGACGATCGCACTAATTTCTAGTCGATTGTTTGCTTATATTTTGAACTGTCCTTGTCCTTATATCCAGTTAATATGACTTTGATTCTATATTATCGAGTATAAATAGAGATACCTTCCTCTCAAGAGCCCTAGGGTGCATAGAGTGCACATGTAAAATTCACCTAAGCGGGGTTCGCGTTGCCCGGGGCGTCTTAAGCGCCGAGTAAACAAAACTTCTTTTTTTCCTTCTTCCTCTTTGTTCGCGTCACAAATTAAATCCCCTCCATTCTCACCTTTCATCGATCCTTTCTAAATTTTCGTTACATCAACCTCCCCGTGGGTCATTGTTACGGATCCGGTGTCATTCCAAACCCTCCTGCTACTGTTACTAGCATCTAGCATTCCACAACCCGGAATCCACAGATCTCTTACTACTATTTCTTAAGAACCTCGATTGCATCCGCTCTCGATCCACAATGGACTATAGTATGGAAGATACACAGAACTCGGCGCCCGAGGCGCAGCAAGCCAGCAAGCTGAACTCCTCTGGTCAAAAAAGCGACACCCAGAGCGTGACCAAACGGTTCGCCTCCCCCTCCAAACAGTCTACAAATCAGCTTGCTCTTTGTGGTTACATATAGCTAACCCCATCTCTTTGATTTGTATAGCCTGCAAGCCGAGCTCATGCAACTCATGCTCTCCCCCTCGCCCGGCATCTCCGCCTTCCCGGACGCAGACGGCAACCTCCTCTCGTGGACAGCAACTATCACCGGCCCGACCGAAACTCCCTACGAGGGCCTCACACTGAAACTCTCCTTTGCATTCCCCAACAACTACCCCTACTCTCCCCCAACAGTCCTATTCAAGACCCCGATCTACCACCCTAACGTCGACTTCTCCGGCCGTATCTGCCTCGACATCCTCAAGGACAAGTGGAGCGCGGTCTATAACGTATCGAGTGTTTTGCTCAGCTTGCAGAGTTTGCTTGGTGAGCCTAACAAGTAAGCACCTGCCCACACCCTTTATAACTTCTATCATCGCTGACATTGACCCAGTGCGAGCCCCTTGAACGCACAAGCAGCCGAGCTTTGGGACTCCGATCAGGCGGAATTTAAGCGCCACGTCCTCGCCCGGCACCAGGACCTGGACGACGAATAGACCGTTGGATTTTATATTTTTTTTCTCATTCTGCATCGGCGTCGGTTGGCCCGTCGCCCACTTCATTGGCGGTGGGATCGTGCTGCAAACGCATAACGGGGCTGGTTTGCGCCTTGGAGTTGTTGGTTTACTTGGCTATGCCCTAATTTATCTTCTATCGTTATTACTAGTACCTCTGAACCTCCGCATTCAGGTACAAGCGTGAGGAATTCTTGCTCTTGAGATCCTCGGGCGGTTCCCTCTCGTTTTATTTCTTTTGGTCATTCCTCCTAGGATGGTAGATCTACTAATTGTCGTGCTGTTGTAGATCATTTGATCTTGTACACGCATTCAAGATTCTACACTATCCGCTTAAGTATATAAGCTTCGCTTGTCCACACTTCAGTATATAGTTAGGGGGGTGTACTTTATATCAAGGACAGAGTCCCACTACTAATTCTCGTACAACCGTGCCCAAGTAATTCCCCCTTAAAAGCGAAGAAACAAAGATAAACAGAATTAGGACCGATTCAGTCCAATAAATTTGAAGTCGACGCTATCAGAATTGGCCAACCCCAGAAATAAAATAAAATAATACCCAAACAACCAAATAATCACCCCCCAAATTAAGATGTCGTGGAGGTACCGAAGTACTGCTTCTCATTGGTAATCAACAAGCCGGCAATCGTGGCACTAGTGAAAGTGCTAATGGCTCCGGTAACCATAGCACTAAATGCAACACGGGACACATCCTTACCGCGACCAGGTGCAATCTGCGACAGGACACCGATCTGGTTACCGAGGGAGCCGATATTCGCGAATCCACACAGTGCGTATGTAACGATAAGGCGAGAGCGGTCGGAGAGATCCTTGTAGTCTGCGTTATTTTGGAGAGCGTCGTAGGCGACGAATTCGTTCTGTGGCTGATTAGAAGAGGGAATTATTGTTTATTAAGAAGGGAAACTTACGGTAACGAGCTTGGTACCAATCAGTTGGGCAACCTTGAGTAGATCCCCGTCCCGGGAGACACCGAGGAGGAAGGCAATCGGGTAGCAGATGTATCCGACGATCAACTCGAGGGTCAGTGGGGGGTCGTTGATGTTCAGGTATCGGCCCCACCAAGTGAGGAGGCCGTTGACTAGACCAATGAGAGCGATGATGCACAGGAGGGTTGATGCGATCATGGCGGCGATCTTCAGACCGAGCCAGGTGCCGCTGGTGAATGCGTGGAGGGCGTTGGCAGAGCGGTGTTCGTCGTCATCGGGGACCACGACACGGCCTGCAGTAAGGGTTTCTTCCTCTTCGGGCCAACGTAGTTTTGAGACTGCCAGTGAAGCGGGGATACTCATCACACACGCGCTGACCATTGCCTGTGGGTTGACACCGATGCTGATATAGGCGATCAGGACACTTCCGGCGATGGTGGCGAAGCCAGAGCACATGATTTGGTGCAGCTCGGCCATGGTAAGATGGGCGATGAAGGGACGGATCAGCATGGCGGATTCACCCTGGCCGATGAAGGGGGATGCGGCGGCGACAACGGCTTCGGCGCCGGAAACGCGCATGCTCCAGAAGAAGAAGACGGCGAACTTGCCAATGAACCACTGCAGGATATTGAAGTAGTACAAGAGCTGGACGAAGGCGACGAAGAAGATGATGGCGGAGATGACGCTGACAATGAAGAATTGCTGTGGGGCAAAGCCCTTGTCAAAGTAGTAGAAATCCTCGCTGGTTAGGAATATGACTCCGTCGGCGGCGAAACCGAGCAGATCAGTGGCTAGGCTTGAGATGAAGTTGAAGATGTCGTATCCTGCAGTGGTGCGGAGCACGAACAGAGCAATGATGAATTGCGCCAGCATACCGACAATGACAGTGTGCCAGACGATCTTCTTGCGGTTTCGAGATGTGAGCCATAGCCCGAAGATGAAGACCACCATACCGAACAGACTGACTGCACGGTTGGCACGGGTGTTATCCTGTGATTCTTCGGAAACGAACGAGCCAACAAGAATCACAGCGATGCATAGCGCGGCGGCACTGGGTGTTCTGATCTTCTCGGGAATGAGGCGCACGAAAGGGTGAGCGGTACGCCCCCAGACCCAGTGCATGGGCCTTGACACGACAGTAATGGGGACATAGAAGAAGATTATTCGCAGCGTGATGGCAAGATAGAGCAGGAATGGGATGAGCCATCCTATATCATGTCGGTGTAGGATCAGGCCGGCAATCCACCAACTATGTGAAGAGTATGTGTGAGCCTCGTGTTGAGTCCAGGATACAGTAGTAGGATCGAAGTCTTCACCTACCCGGTAAACAGTAGCCAGACCACGGCATGGAATATATGTCTCCATTGTTTTCCCACACGACGATACCAAGTGCGCTTAACTGGGAGAGTCTCGCCGGCTTCCTCATCGTCGGAGTTCTTCCTGCCGTGGTCCAGAGGTGTTTGTTCAGGCACGATTCCTTTTTCAAACTCGACATCTTTCGAGTAGACCACTTCATCCTGACGTCCCTGTTCGGCGAAGGCGGTATGGTGGTGATGAGCATGGTGATGCTGATGCTCTGGATCCAGCACAGGATCTACATGGTGAACAACCTGCGATCCTGCTGGATCAACTTCATGGGTTTTCTCCATGACGATGCCCCTCCAATCGCAACGGAAGGTATGAATGTAGGCGCCGGTAGCAAATTTACAATTAAGAGTGAAACTCAAAAATACCTCGAGATTTAGACCGCCTGTGATTGTTACCCACAAGGAAAGTTGATCTTTTATAACAAGTAAGGGCACAGATTTAGGGATCTCCCATTGGTATTGTTTGACCTTAAAAACCTGTTGGTTTATTATTTAATTATTGGCATACATATTACATTTTCTGGGGGATGAGAGATAAAGAACGCCCACCAAGGATTAGAACAAGACACTAGCGTCGGGCCATCTTTCCTTCTCATCCTGTTTGGCTGGAAGAATGGCCATGAACGGATTGACCGACGGTGTACAGCGGAGATCCCGTCTCGCCTAGAGCCAGCTAGAGCCACCTGCAGCCAAATGTAACCACATTGACGGCAAAGATGATAAGGGAAGGTAGCATTATCTTGCCACGGCCACCCCTGTCGTCTTCATTGATTGGTGCAGGTCAGGCTAACTTGCTGGCTAACTTGTCTCAAAGTCCAGGAAACTCTCTCCGCACCGGGTAGTTGTGGATCAACATGGGTCGTGTGCTTAATTTCCCGTCTTTCCGCCGACCTGAGATTGTTGTAGTTTCTCCAGGGGCGCGTGATACCCGAGCGCTTGAGCAAGGGATTGGAGGCTGAACGTGAAAAGAAACATATGTAAAACATACTACACAACGTGTGTGGCCTGCATTGTGCGTTGTTTCAAACTCCACCGATGTCTGAATTTGCTTCATAAATGTGGCGGTTTAGCGTTTAAAAAAATTGGAGACCAGAAAGGTCGATAAGAGCAGAGGGGTCCGAGATACACACGCGTGGCCTCCTCAGAGATAATCCCCCATGTACGAAAGATAGGCGCTTCAGAAGACACAGCTTGGCGTCCTTGGTCATGGAAAAACGTGTGATCTAGAATAGCTTCCAAGACCTCTCAAGGTTTTGGTATATTAGACCATTCTGTGATTGTCACCTCGTGGCTTGGGACGTTGGAAGTCTTCGGGGCTGGACTGCGGAGCACGCCGACAGTTACGTAATCACGTGAGCCCGGGGATCCACCGGACTAAAGTTGAATGTCAACCATGGAATGGGAAGGGCACATCCACGGGTGGCCAGCTGCCGCGAGGCATAAATCTATCAACAAGGTATGTTGTACATGCGAGACAGCGTGTTGGGTAAGAACATATCTCTGGAGACTGTAAACAGCCTAGTATAGCCGCTGTGGTTGACTCTCAGGCAATACAGCACTGTATGCTTTCAAGGACGTAAGGTTTTACTGGGAAACAAAAGAGAACAAGAGTACAAAATTCTCGACAGCGACTCGCAGTCCAGAAGGTAGTCAAGAGCAGGTATGGCTTATGATCTAGTTACCAACTAAGTCACTGGGATCCGCTGGCTCTACTACACTGACTTTGATACTTAACCAATGAATGCTTATTAAGTTCTCATACTCTTTCTAGTTTCATCAATAATACAATCAGCATTCTCGCCTTCTACCATGCACCTAGGCATCTACCTATTTGGATAGCGGTGGCTGGGAAACCTGAATCTATCCAATTACCCGAACGATTGCAGAAAAGAGCCACTCATCATGCCTACAGAGAAATGTGTCACCCACGTTGAGTGACTGTTCAAGCGATCTATTTGTTATGTTTACTTTGATATCCGGCTATCTAAAAAGCGTCATATAATTCGAGTCATAACAGACTTTGCTACGAATACTCTCCATCCATCAAGACTGGAAACGAGATCATCTTTTCCAGTGTACCGAGACAGAGCGAGAACCCTACTAGTCAGGGCTAACGTCACTCCAGCCGTAACAGGATCCAGCTCGCCACATGCACATGTGTTCTCTGTGAGTATTTCGAGATGATTGCTTGTAAAGAGAATAGACAATAGATTGAAAGGCATTTAAGTGTCAGATGAAACAAAAATGAAAATGAAAAGAAAAAGGAAAGTGATGGTGAACCACTGCCGAGAAGCAGTCAATTGGACTAGTTAACTAACTAACTAGTTAGTTACGGAGTAGTTATAGAAGCATTCCTGAGGCATAGATAGCAACGCAGACACCTTCAACCACCTTCCCTTACCTTCCCTTCTTAGTAGTCACCCCATGGTGTTCTCTAGCACTCTACTACTCCCAGTGACGGCCCTGCTCTCATACTTGTTTCGCAGGTAGGGCTGTCAGTGCCCCTGCTGTCCCCGTTGCAGGGTCCCCTCTTCAGTATGTGTTTTCTTACCAACGGGTCGCACACGTGGTTCGAATTGTTCACCCCACCCTTCATCACTCATCCTCTTTTGCTTCTCCTCCTTATGACCGTTATTCCGCTGGTTAACAACAGAGGTTCACAGGAGGATCCGAGGCCGAAGCAATCTTAAGAGACTTTCGTGACAAGATCTGAAATGTTTGTATCTTGAGTGCAAATCTCGTTTCGTGTAGAGTGGCGCTGTTTTGTGACCGACGTGGAGGGGAATCAAGGCAGATGTGATGCTATATGCTTCAAAATCTGATGAAGATGGAACTGGTCAGCGGAACTAGGTCCAGTCAAGCTCAAACATACACACTGATGGGATGTGACTGACGAGGTGACGACTCTCTTTTGTATCGAGTATCACGGCGTACACTTCGCCGCAAATGTAAGGCCGAAAGGCAATATTTGCTGCTTAAAGCAATCAGACTGCGAGCAAGGTACACGCAATCTGAAGAGCTGTACTAGAAAAGACAGGGCGAAGCCGTCTCTCGGTGGATGTTTGAAGGAAGAAGACCGAGAAGAAAAGTCCTGGAAATATCTGAAGTAGGGGAGCAAACAGATGTTAGTAGGGCCCTATGGCTACTTTCAGAGCATCTAGTACGCACTGAGTTTATCTCTGAATATGTTAATTTGTTTCGATAGTGAACACTTTCTATCTTTCGCTTTCCAGGAGTCCCCGAGAACCCTACATGCTAAGACATCATATCATTCAAATTCCAAGACCTGTATATAACTGTAAATGGCCATTCATGATCAGTACATCTTTATATTATTGTAGACACACTCGGGCATACGATATCCAATAGACAAAGGTTCTTAAGTGCAGTACTTAGTGAACTTGTTGATGGTACCACCTTTAACACACACACCGGTACAGCAATCGCCAGGGAGAAGGCACGGGCTGTGAGCTAGTATCGCATGTAGCGTTAGCCTCGTATTCCTAACACTCTAAGAAAGTCTAGGAGAGGTATCATGATCATGATAGAAGCATACTTGATCTGCAGCGCTTTTCAAGAGGGTTGGTGTCCAAAGCAGCTTCGGGGTTTGGGACAGCAGCAGCATTGGCAAACGCAGCAAGAGCAACAACAAGGACAACTTTGAAGAACTTCATAGTGATCTTATCGGCGGAAGAAGAAAAAATGGTAAGTGAGATGTTATTAGAGGAAATGAGCTTCTCTTTATACATTTTGATCTGATTATTTCCTGGCCCCCAGCCAGCAGGCCATACATGCAGGATCGGCTATGTTGTCCTAATGAACTTGTTCGAGTTATCTGATCTTACGCCAAGCCGTCACTCTCCTTCGCTCGGTTGCGGGGCCACCAATAGCATCAAGTTACTGAATCCTTCAATTTATGCAGCTTCGCTCGATTGGCTCTAAAGACCGTACAACAAAGCTAAGCATATTACTCGGCAGTAACGTCTACTCTTGGAGCGTATTTCTAGACGGAGAGATTTCCGTAGGCCCCCAGGCTATCCGGGCGACGATTCTGTATACGAGAGCTTGGTCACCTTGCTTTTCTCTTCGCCTTCTTGAAGCCTATATGCATAGACGAGTAATATTTTACTTTCTTACGGCGCCAACTTCTATGCAGGGTATTTTGGAAGGTTGAAATATCCACGTCTCCATATCTTCGTGAGATGCTTCTTTTGTATGGCGAAGTGGAAACCGTAAACTCGGAAACATGGCTGATCATTGCCTAGTCTAAAAGACCCGCATAGTACCATGTGGAGAGGTGTTACCTTCCTAATCCGAGGATAGCGTACTAGAAGAGCTATTTTAGCAACTGATCACATTGTACGTTCGAAAAATCCACTGCCAGTCGTGATGAGAAATCTCACTATATGAACAGAAGCAATGGAGATGTACAAACAAACAAAATCATAACTGACTGGTGGGTGTCTTCTTGGGGTCTAGATTTACCCATTAGAACACCACACCTTTGACCTGAGCAACCTTGTTCAGATTGATATTCTTGATCATGATAGTCCACGCAAATGCCAGAGCCATCACCCCCACGCCAGCAGAGAGCATCCTAACTTGTGTATAGCCGTACGCTTTCTGTATTGCCGTTCTCATCGGAGTACCAGGAGCATAGCTCAGCTGTGTCTCGAGATCTTCATAAATCATGTCCAGGTCTTTCAAGTCTGGCAGATACCAAGTAAGAGCCTTCTTGTAAGTGTTGTTCCAGATTGCCATAGAGATAGTAAGACCTGCAGAATCTCCGATGGTACCGACCACGTTGAGCAAGGCGAGGGCTGTAGCAACATGCTGGTGATCAACGGCAGCGAGAATAGATAGCTGCTCGACAATGATGAAGATCGATCCGCCAATGGAGATGAAGATTTGACACATGACCTGGTAACCAACACTCTGACCAGGACGACGGAAGTAGATCATCAAACCCTGGGCAAAGATGTATAGAGGAACGGAAATGTAAAGGAGCCATTTGAAGCGACCAGTTTTTCGGATCGCCCATCCAACAAAGAATAAAAGTATACCAGAAACGACGTCGAATGTATTAGTGATATACCCAGCTTCGGCAATAGTGAGGTCATTAACCACTTGAAGGAAATTTGAGAAGTAGTTGTTCCAGCAATAGTTTGAAAGCTGATACGTGGCATCTAAGAGGCATGCACCGACGACGGTTCGGTTCGTGAGGAAGGAGTATGGGAGCAAAGGCGTAGGAGCGATATACCTCTCGTAGAAAGCAAAGAAGAAGAGCATCGAGAATCCGACCACAATCATGGCAATGATATAATTCGTGCCCCAGCCTTTAGGAGCCTCGCTGGCAATGTCAAATGGAAGCTCAAATAGCACAAGTCCCGCAGTGAAGATGAAGACTCCGATTACTATGATACTATTAGTTCTCTGTGGATGAATCAGTTGGTAGTTCGGAATACTCACAATCGAATTCGAGTGTCCAAAACCAGATGCTTTGAAGGAATGATCGTCCACTGTTCTCTCTGATAACCACAGCATTTCCCTTTTTGGCTTTTGTCAGGTTGAACTTCAGGACGAAGAACAACGGCGCGGCCACGACAGGGAAGATGATGGCGAAAGTACCATAAGCCCATCTCCAGCCAGTATGGGCGTAGAATAGATCCGCCACCTTTGGCCCAGCAAACGCCGTAATAATGTACGGAGAAGACGTGAAAGCGTATGCAAGGGCTCGGTTCTTCAACTGGGAGAGATCGGCGGTGATGACGTCCACGGCAAATTGCATGCCTCCGAAGCCGATGTAGTAAAACACCTAGATCCCCTATTAGCACATGTTCAATAATTCATAGATATTCCCGGGCTGTCTTACATTTGCAGCGCAATAGACAGCGAAACTGTTGCAAGAGGCCATCAGAACAAGGCCTACGGTGGCGCAAATTGACATCACCAGGAACCCTTCGGCTCGGCCCCAGGTGTCCATCATCTTGGCCACTGGAAGGAAGACAGCAGCCGAAAAAGCATCCGCAATTGCGGTAGGAAGACCAGACAAGGAGTGTTGTTGGAAAGAGCTAGCCACATAAGTGCTCAAGCTGCCATCGATTGACGATATCCAGGCATAGGTGAAATAGAGGAACCACATACTATTGAACTATAAGATTAGCGATAGGGCTGAAAAGCGGGTGAATTGACTTGCTTACTTTATGAAAACGAAGATCAGGGAGACTTTCGACCAGGTCTGAGCCACAGCCTCAACTTCCTGAATACCATGTTGAAGCTCTTCATAGGGCACACCTGGTAGCTCGGCACCATTGTTTGGAAGTGTATCTTCAGGATGGCTGATTGAACCCTCTGACTTCTCCGCCTCTACTGTGTTTCTGTCTACTTCGACCGAAGAAGAACTTGCAGCATCATCACTGTCGACTTTCATTCGACGAAAGACTGCCCGAGCCCGTTGTATCAAGGGACGAAGCGTCATGGCAATGGATATAAGACTCAAAATTCCAACGACTCAGAGAGGTTGAAGGTTTCAGGAAGATTTTGAAACCAAGAGGGAAAGGCAAGTAAAACAAGCGAAATTCCCACATATAAAGTAAAACATCGAAGTCGGCACGTCGGCTAGTAGTATTTTGAACGACCGACAATCCTTTCCTCCTAGATCAAAAATGTTACAACATGCGCGGTATTAATATAATGTAGTCCAAACATATTCGTTCAGGCCGTGGACCCTTGCTCCACTGGGGCCTGCGACAAGATCTAATCAGATCGTCAGTGGCTTAGAGATCTTTACCACATCCAGTTACCTTGATCGAGACCCATCAGGCCCATTCCCTTCCAACGTCAGTGTCAAGCTTCGTATAGCTGCTTGGAAATGTACCTTGGCATTATGGGCCGGCCATATTCTCTCAACCGGAAAACACGGGTCGATAAAAATCTTGGAAAGTTATCAGATTTGCCAAGATTTCGCATTCATGGGTAAACGCGTAAAATTGATTTCTTTCCCCTTTCCTACATTAGAATGGACGTGTAACTCACCAATAGGTCAGCCATTTGGCTAACATATACGCAAACAGCCAAGATCTCGCCGGATGAGAATCTCAGTACAAGCCTCATGGCGTAACTTAAGCCACCCTTGGCTCCCCTCATGCCTCCACCTTGAACTTTTTTTTGAGATTAAGGTGTTTAGCGTTTTTTTTTTGTACGCAGGAGTCTACATAATCCGATTGGCCATATATAATTATGCGTGCATCCCGAGGCCAATTGGACCGACACTGGATGTTGTACCTTACAACGCCTGCCGGAAAAGATATCTTCCGGTATATTATATTTTTCGGTCAATAACAACACGCGTGTTTTGTACACGTTGGCAAGAATTAGTCACTGGAAAGTCGCGATTTCAACCTGGTTCGATCTCCTTTGATCAGCCTTCCGGTGGATCCCGAAAATGACTATTACATATTGCTCCGTCTGGATATGCATTCTCTTTTCGGGTTTCGACAAGTAAACCACATTCAAGGCCTTGCCTGGAGTATATCGATGCGTGAGATTGTATATAAATACCGCCGCCGCATAACGATCGCCTCAGTTCATCAGGTTCTTGCTATTTTGGCTTGCAGGCAGCAACCACATACACTCGCGCAGGCCCAGCTTGTCAGCTCCGGACGAAATCCCAGGGTTGAAAAATTCACCTTCGTGGGATCGTGTGCACTCCCGCTGTAAACGTCAAAATCGACCGAAATTCAACCATTTCCGATGGTGTAGACTAGCACAGCGGATGTAGGAATATAGTAACGGACGTGGAATCAAGCCAATATGGCTGTTAGATTCGACGAGATGGGCTATCTTTAGTATGAGACCATGACAATGACGTGAAATCTGGCTGCTAATGTATTGCAGCCAACCTCCGAATTCCTAACTATCTCAATGTAGTGTATCAAGGCCATCCTAACTTCACCCTAGTAGAAATACAAACGTATCGGGGATTGGATGTTCTTGTAAGCTGTCCATACGATAAATGAGGCGAAGCTCCTAGTTCACGATCAAAGAAAAACCAAGAGATAAGTCTACAACATATGTACATACCACCACTTTAATTCACTCTATCTTACATGATTATTTGGTCAGTGGTCGTTATTGAGCTGTTCATTTTGTCGCGAGTAGGACCGGCTTCTCGATATACCTATCCACACTAAAGGATCAAGGTATCTTTTCCTGTACACCAACTAATAACATGGAAGGCTATCGCACTTCACCTCATTCGCAGTTTCGATTCAAATATGTTTCCAGTTTGCGCCAATCAAAAGTAGACGATACACTCCAAGGCTACCAGACGAAAACGGATATGGCGGGGAGCGTAACTTTCCCCTCTCGACAATCTGGTCCCACTCTGAGTGTCGACTCTACAACCTTTTTGAATCACTTCAAATCATGGCAAATACAGAGAATGAATGGGAATTGGAGGAGGGTATCCCTCAGTTTGAGGATCCCTTCATCCAACAGTATCTGAAAGGACGCGATGCTTTAATTATGGAAGAGAAAAAGCGACGTCATGGTATTTCCCACTCAAGTCAAGTAAAAAAACTTCATATCTGACTTTTGTTGTAGATGCAAATCTGCGCAAATCTTTATCACCTATCGCCGCCCGGGCGACGAAGATTGTGTCACATATCCGAGCTCAGGAACAGAACGAGCTGTGGTCAAGTGGATTGAATGAGAACGCGGCCCACCAGGCAGATGAAATCCTGTACCCCGGTGTCATGTTCAATCTGGCCAAAGGCCGCATGGAGACGACTAAACTATGGAAAATCGTGGAAAAGATGCCCAAGGGTTCTCTCCTACATGCCCACATGGAAGCCATGTTCGACATGGATTTCTTAGTTGACCTGGCATTCTCCACGCCCGGCATACACATGTTAGCGCCGAAGCCGTTGATCACAGCCAAAGATTACGAAATAGCGCCCGTGTTTTTCAAGTATTCCTCGCAGCCTCTAGAAAGATCCGAAGACAAGCCAAGTATTTGGTCGGAGGCATACGAGGCCTCGTCATTGATCTCGATCCAGAAGGCCGCCTCCTCTTTCCCTAACGGGGGAGAGAAGGGTTTCCGGGAATGGTTGAATACTCGATGTGTGCTTATGCCAGAGCATTCGTATCACCACCATCACGGAGTAGACGCAATTTGGGCTATCTTCACCAAGACTTTCCCAATTGTCGGCTCTCTCGTGATGTACGAGCCTATCTTCCGCGCCTGTCTCTTCCGGTTGCTCGGACAGCTTGCCAAGGATGGAGTTCGATACGTGGAGTTCCGCCTTGCATTTGTCTTCGAATTCCGAACGGAAGGAAATGAAAACCCCGAAGAAGACTACTTCCAGTGGTGTCGTGTGGTGGAAGATGTCGTGGCTCAGTTCAAACAAACGGACGAAGGGAAGGACTTCTACGATCCTCGCATTATTTGGACTACGCTCCGGTGGTTTGACAACGAGACGATTGTCAATAGCATGAAGCAGTGCATCGAAACGAAGCAGGAGTTCCCCGCTCTGATCAGCGGGTTTGATCTTGTTGGTCAAGAGGATAACGGGAGGCCGCTAGTCGACCTTGTTCCCGTGCTCTTTTGGTTCCGGAAGCAATGTGCGGAAGAAGGCGTTGATATTCCCTTCTTTTTCCACGCTGGAGAATGTCTCGGCGACGGCGACACGACAGACCACAACCTATTCGATGCCATCCTTCTTGGCACTCGCCGAATCGGCCATGGGTTCTCACTTTACAAGCATCCTCTACTCATTGATTTAGTCAAAGAGAAGAAGATCCTCGTAGAATGCTGCCCGATTTCTAACGAAGTGCTCCGCCTTGCTAGCTCCATCAAATCCCATCCCTTGCCCGCGTTATTGTCCAGAGGCGTCCCCGTTTCGCTGTGCAACGACGACCCCGCAATTCTTGGCCACGGAAGGAATGGATTGACACATGATTTCTGGCAGGTTTTGCAGGGACTTGAAAATGTGGATTTAGTCGGCCTATCAATGATGGCCCAGAACTCCATCCGGTGGAGCTGCTACGAAGACCAGTCGACCGCCGAGTGGAAAGCTGGTATTCAAAATGGGGTAATGGGGAAGGGACTGAAATCTGAACGTCTGCGGGATTTCGCTTCGAGTTTCGAGAAATTCTGCGAGTGGGTTGTGCTGGAGTTTGCTGAGTACGATGTTGATGTTGGGGATGATTGAAGTTCTGTGTCCAAAATATACGAGTCATATACTTAGTAACCTAGCACGAACAATAACCAACTAACTATGAGAACACGAAAGTTGATTTTGGTAATATTTCAACTGGTGTAAGTGAAATTTTATCACCATCGAAGTAATTTGAAACAGACAACTCAATGAGAAGATAATTGGTCAAATCTGGTGTCAATCGGTGAGTTGGCACGTCGGCGCCTGACTCCGGTACTTATCGCGCCTTTATCAGGTGCCCGGAACGTCATTGACGAACATTCCCTCCGTCACGACCTCCCATCCACTCCGCTTTGTCGGAGCTGGCTGATTTATTGTGTTTGTTAAGCTATTTTCGATGATCCGAGTCGGCACATGAACGAGCCCTGTCCCGGCTCCCAGTCACGATGGCGTCGTACTTTATGCCATCGTTCTTCCAGAAGCGGCTCCTCAAATATGCCCTCTCTCGCCTGGGCCTGGTCGACACAGAGGCCTTGGATCCAGATAACTTAGGTATCCGCTGGGGACAACGGTCTATCATCGAGTTGAGGGATATCGGTCTCAAACTAGAGGTGAGTGAGTGGGTGCAGTGAGCCTCCGCGGGCGGCGGGGCGGCCTGTCGTGATCATCGAACCCGACCTACAGAGCAGTGCGGGCTAACTATTCACATCGCGGAATAGAAACTATCGACGATACTCAATCTTCCTCCGTCGTGTGAGCTGCTCAGCGCCCGTGTTCAGCTTCTTCGAATCACCCTCCCTGCCGATTTCCACAACAGCGGGATCCTGTGCGAGGCAAACGGCATCGACGTACATATTCGGTTATTGTCAGAGGAGCCGAAAAAGGAACAAAACACAAAAAATAAAGGCGGAAAAGATGACTATTCGGCGGTGCCCACACCATCTGGTCTTGCGGAGTCATTCCTTGAGTCCGAGCCAAAGGAGGAGAGGGAAGAGCTGCAAGCCGCAATAGCGTCACAGTCACAGGTCCTGCCCCATGACCCACTAGCCTGGTCTGTCGATGACGATGACGAACTTGGCCTCGGGAGTGATACTCTATCACTGCCGAGCTTTGTGGCCGGGTTCTTGAAAGGCGTTGTGGATCGACTCCAACTCAAGATAAAGGATGCAGTTGTGCGAGTAGATATGGAGTTGAAGCAAGATGGAACGTCAAAACGGCAGCCTGAACACAAGCCGGACCTTGTCGCGGGTCTGCTGAGCGTCGGGGAAATCGATGTCCACGGAGTATCTGAGAAAACTGTTGGTCCGGACGAGGCTCT